GCCAAGATTGGGCTCATTAGCCACCTCAGAACTCACCGTACCCAGTCTTCTAGTACCTGAGATAACTTATCAAGGTCATCATCGCTTGTGATGGACGAACAACAACACTCAAGTTTGGCGACCACGTGTGCACTTACCGACATCCATCAAAAGGAGATTTGTTTGGAAACTGTTTCCGATGACTTTTCCGACTTATTTATTTATAATCATTTTTATAATAATTCATTATGTCCATCATTCAGCAAATGTATGTGTATTGTATTCTCTAAGAATCTCGATGTTTGAAGTTACTGACTTTATATGCATGGAGTTTAAACTTTAAAGATAGTAAAAAATTCAAAATGCAGCTGCAGTAAATTTAATTCAAATAGGCAGCAGTAAATTGCTGAGAGTAAAACAAATGACGTAAACTTTACGGTGGGTGCTTGACCATGCTTATTATTTGTTTTACACCAATAAGCCAATAATTTTATTTTTAAATATTATTGGAGCGTTGTTTCTAATTAGAGACGGTAATCTTTTGTGGACTTACCATGATATTTCCAAATTCTGATGCAAAAGAAAACATTTTTTTATTCGAAAACATCGTAAATGTCCCTTCTCTCTCCCTCTGGAAAATTGTAAAACTCACCATAGCGCGTGCGTTGCTTGTACAAGTGTTCAAAACATGGCGACTGGCAAGAATGAAATTTTCTTCAATCTTGGAAAGATTAAAGTTGATAAAGTCAACGAACTGCTGGAAGAGGCGCAGAAGTATGTAAAAAAGGTGATAAGGGGAGTCTTTGAAATTAATAATGGATAGTATATTTGTGTTTTAATTGAAATGCACGATTTAGCAATATCCATCTACCATTACACTTTGTAGTTCAAATTCATAAAAATATTTTTATATGCTGAAAGAAAGTTCATGGGCTAAATATACACATTCTGACAAACATTTTTTCAATTTCTATAAGACGTTTAAGACTATGTATGTATTGACTATGTATGTAACGGTTGGGAGGTCCCATAAGACTATGTATGTAACGGTTGGGAGGTCCGTTTTCTAAAATATTTTACGATGTATGAGCAGCAGCCGGAGGCCGACGCCACTTTTGAGGCCATGGAAAATAATTCTCTATAAGGTCCAAGCAAGACAGTAAATAATGTTTTTAATTCTTTATTTTTAAAATCAAGCAATTCACGTTGTAAAATGGTCGATGCGGCCTGTTAAGACTGAAGTTGATTATTTTTTATGTGTTTTTCGAATGCTAATATATGGTACTGTGCGGTATGTCCATTGAAAAAAGCTTTTTCTTATTGAAGTTGTTGATAAAACTAAGCATTGACAGTTTTCAACGTTAGTGGAAATTTTTCTTAGAGAATCGCTTAAAAACTTACTTGAATTCGTTTCTCCTCTACGCGTGGTATCTTATCAACAGTACTTTTTTGTCAGATTACAATCTTCATTGTCTATCACCACGTTCAAATATATCGCCTATCAAGTAAGATGTCTTTCCGTAACCAACAGGAAATCAACAATACTCGTCTACTACAGTCAAAGGCACTATCTTTACATTCAGGGGTTGTCAATAATTGATTGCAATTAAATTGGTCTGCACAATCAATTAATTGAAATTGGGAGTTTTGCCCAATCAATTAATTTTAATTGATGCTTTGTCCAATCAATTGGTTACAAATAATTGCAATTAATTGAAGCTCGATTAATTTTTGACAACCCTTGTATACTTTGTCTACATATCTTTTTAGTACTAGAACGCACACTAACGCTAATATCGTATAGAAATAGGTAGGTCTATTGTACAGGCAATAGCAATAGGTATAGCAACAGTAAATATATTTAACTTTTTTCTCTATGTCATAGGTCAGAAGCTTGTTATATTAACAGTGGTTATTTCAAAATCTGACATAATTACAGTCAAACACATAACCCAAGATACTGTTACAATACTATTTTTTGAGAGAGTTATAAAGCTCTGTATAAAGTATTATTTTACCAGAGCTAAGGTGTTCATTAAATTTATGTATTATCTTATGAAATATTTGATATGGATGTCATCGGTGGCATATCCAGAATGAATGTTTTACACTTGCTATGTAAATTTCACTGCATCATTGCTCATTTCATTAGAAATCTATTGTTTTTACAGTGAGTGAACAAAGCAAGATTGAGATAGCATGAGCAAATAAAAATGCTGGCTATGGCTGAGATTATTATAAGATATAGCTGTGAATAAAATATATGTGACTTTTATGCTTATCATACTTAGTTATAGTATATGTTTTTATTATGCTATAGCTACAACACCATCTATGATACCAGTTGTTTCCAATGGCAATACAATTTTATAACTACAAATGTCTAAATTGCATCACATTATTAACATGCAACTAATGACTTCTGAAAAAAATTGTATCATACTGCTCAGTTGGTTCATTTTATGACACTTAAGATAAGTAAACTACTGATATTTCTTTGTTCAATACATGACAGCCCCAGCAACTGCCAACTGCTTTGTTGTAAGTGAAAGCAAGCTGCTGTGACAAGACAAAAGTAGTTTCAATGTAAAAAAATAGAAAAAAGCAGTCAATGCCAATCAATTAATTTAAATTGATGCTTTGTCCAATCAATTAATTGGTTACAAATAATTGCAATTAATTGAAACTCAATTAATTTTTGACAACCCTTGTTTACATTAATTTACACAACGACAAAAATACGTTGTACTTGCCGTCTTTGTGTAGCCTACAATGAATAAGTTTTTTACCATGACGCCTCGCAGTTCATAAATGCCAAAACTTGAAGTGAATAATATCTTTATGCATGGTGTTATGCATATCAATATGTATTTGTTCCCCGTGATAATTTAACATTCATTGTTCGTACTCGAACAAATTATCTTTCAAAACTAATCCTAAAAACATTAGCTAATGTTGTTAAACAAAAGAACTTTGGTATTCCATCATTCCCAACATTAAATATATGTAAAATGCAAATGACAATTGACCATTGTTTTATGTTATTACGCAAATAATTAAACATTAAAATTTACTATGGCAAGCCAAACCTGCCAAAAGTGTATGGCAAGCCAAACCTACCAAAAGTGTATCGAGATTTATAAGTCGTATTAGAATTACTATAAGTCTATTCGAGAATCGTGAAGTGGTACTCGAAATTACTATAATGCGGTGTGAAAACTATATTATTATTGTTGAGTTGTGTATGACGAGATTTATATGACGAGTTGTTTTATAAACTGTGACGAGATTTATAAGACGAGTTTTATATGACGAGTTTCATATGACGAGATTTATAAGACGAGTTTTATATGACGAGTTTCATATGACGAGTTTTATATGACGAGTTTCATATGACGAGTTTATAAGACGAGTTTTATATGACGAGTTTCATATGACGAGTTTATATCGCGAGTTTTCCTCTAACAACATGAAGTATTGAGTTAAAGAACACGTGTTTGTTTCAAAAGCAGTTATTAATTATATGCAAAATTTCGGCGGGTTGGTAACTTTGTATTTTCTATCTATACTGTATCGCTCTCACCAAAATGACAGAAATGAGCAATAGAGAAATTATTCAGGAGCTTCTTGGCAGAGTTACAGAGCTGTCTGAAGGAATATCACCTGACGTGGACAGTTCTGTAAGGTCAGAAGTGAGAACTATATTTGGACGACATACGACCGCTTTAAATTTGCCAAATGCTGAAACGAGTCGGGAGGGAGGGAGGCCTTGTTTTGATATAACCAAAGTACAGATAGAGCAATTACGAGATACCGGAATGAAATGGAAAAGTATAGGTAGCTTCCTAGGTGTATCAGAACAAACAATTTACCGGAGAAGGATTGAATATGGAGTTGAGGCTAGCTTTACAGACATCACCGATGATAGTTTAGATGGGCAGATAAGAGATATTTTAAGGCTTACCCCATATAGTGGAGAATGTTATATCAGGGGTAGTTCAAGCGCTAGAAAGATCTATGTCCAAAGAGAAAGGGTCAGAGAAAGTTTTCGGAGAATCGATACTATTGGAAGAAATATGCGAAGGAGGTATGCGATTTGTGGACGGGTTTATACCCGCCGAAATTTTGCATATAATTAATAACTGCTTTTGAAACAAACACGTGTTTTTAACTCAATACTTCATGTTGTTAGAGGAAAACTCGCGATATAAATCTCGTCATATGAAACTCGTCATATAAAACTCGTCTTATAAAACTCTCGTCATATGAAACTCGTCATATAAAACTCGTCATATGAAACTCGTCATATAAAACTCGTCTTATAAATCTCGTCATATGAAACTCGTCATATAAAACTCGTCTTATAAAACTCGTCATATGAAACTCGTCATATAAACTCGTCATATGAAACTCGTCATATAAAACTCGTCTTATAAAACTCTCGTCATATGAAACTCGTCATATAAAACTCGTCATATGAAACTCGTCATATAAAACTCGTCTTATAAATCTCGTCATACACAACTCAACAATAATAATATAGTTTTCACACCGCATTATAGTAATTTCGAGTACCACTTTACGAATCTCGAGTAGACTTATAGTAATTCTAATACGACTTATAAATCTCGATACACTTTTGGCAGGTTTGGCTTGCCATAGGTTTGGCTTGCCATAATTTTGGCACTTATAAATAACGTTGAGGTGTGTTGGAAACGGATGTATATCACTATACACTTAAAAATGATTATTCAAAGTTAAGAATGTTGAAATAATCCGAACATTTACGCCTACGTAGCACGTTCGGTTAACAATGAGTGACATAAGTTCATCGATTATTTATGCATCATGTTTGTGATGTGTAAGCAGACGATCAGATACAAAGGTCGATTATGACATATCTTACCATGGATTTCCTAATGCACATTATGTATGTTGGCATTCATGGTAAGAGAAAGCAAAATAATAGAGATCGATTTTGCTTGCTCACTGCATGTGTGGTTTGTAGATTACAGTAAACGTAAGGCACTTATTTATATTGCAAAAAATAAAACTGCAAATCACAAAAAATAGCCTTGTAACATATACGGACACATTACTTGTTCCTTACATGAAGTATCAATTTGTTTTTGTATTGTTAAGTTCTTAAAAGATATGTAAAAAGTCCTAATTTTTCTAATACATCATCAACCAGCAGCAAAAATATGATGGCCACCATGTGTGCCTTCTCCGCTCAACATCTCATTTCAATGCCAACCTGTCTCAAAAAGTATACAACCATCATCAAGTATACAACCATCAAAGTATATAATCATCATCAAGTATATAATCATCATTAAGTATACAACCATCAAAGTATACAACCATCATCAAGTATACAACCATCATAAATTATACAACCATCATAAAGTATACAACCATCATAAAGTATATAATCATCATTAAGTACACAACCATCAAAGTATACAACCATCATCAAGTATACAACCATCATAAATTATACAACCATCATAAAGTATACAACCATCAAAGTATATAATCATCATCAAGTATATAATCATCATCAAGTATATAATCATCATTAAGTATACAACCATCAAAGTATACAACCATCATAAAGTATACAACCATCATAAATTATACAACCATCATAAAGTATATAAACATCATCAAGTATATAATCATCATTAAGTATACAACCATCACAAGATACATAAACTATGAAGAATATCTGTATGAATTCTTATCATTTCAAGAGTCATAAATAAAGCCACGCTGGGTCATTTAAAAAAACCTTTATCTACATCTACAGCCTGCAGTTGTGTGAAACTCTGACCAATTCATGATTCATGCTCGTGTTGAAATACACTTGCTCAAGGCCCAAAATCAATAACACAATTGTTTTCCAAATTGCTTTTGAACAAAATACATACCTTCCTTCCAGTAATTTAACTAGTCAGTCCCAATCTATCCACGCACGGTCATAATAAAACATAATGACAGTGTTGCCAGATTGTGAACAAAGCTCACGAATTTATGAACTTTTGATTTTTGTTTTGACTTTTTGTGAACATTTCATGAACTTTTACTAAAAAGTAAAAACTTTTTATGAACTTATCAGCTATAAAGGACAAGGTTGTTTACAATGAATATACACTGGTTTAGAGATTCGAGACAACGCATAATTTATTCTTCAATGTTGATGTGGAGGGATTTTTTTCTTCTGTGAATGCAATCAAAACTAAAGGAAGAAATAGGTTGCACACAAAGTCAGTCTGCGGTATTCTAAAAGTTAAGCAAGGAGTGAAAGAGTCAGGAGGCTGTTTCAAATATTCTCCTTCAACAAATGCTTTAAGTTATATGACACACATCATTCTTATGTTCAAGACTCTGACTCAAGCGACAAATCTGAATCGAACTAAATAACTGTTTTTCATTGTTATTTTTTTGTTGTTTTGTACAAATGTGCATTGTGCATCATTATAAATTTACATTTGCTTTAGCTTATTTCATTCATTTGGTGCAAATTATGCAATTTTTGTCGATTTTTAACATTGGTGGATAATATGTGAAGTTTTGAACATGCCGACATGAACTTATTTAAAATTCATCTAGCAACACTGCATAATGACAGCTAGCAAAAATGCAGTTTACACCAGCAGACACATCACAAGCTTCACTGGAAACATATACAGTTCAATGCTGGTGGCTTTTTGTAAAGGTATACAGTTTTTTGATGTGTGTTGTACAGGTAAGTTAAATTTATGAATTTATATGGAAATGTTGAAAATGAGGCTGCAAAAAAACATTCAGAAATGGCAAGTGATTAAGATAAATTTGTGTGAAATAATATTTCAGTCTCCTCCCAGAAATTGAAAGAGTTAAGGAGTTTTCTACCTGGTGCCAATGTTTTTTACATTTTACTTTGCAATAAACCAAATTCTCGAATGAAGTTGTTCAACTGATCCTCAAGACATTGAGCATTTTTTCTATAAACATAAGGAATGTAGCCATATGCAACTTATCACAAGCATGCTTATACGTAAGGGGATCATTACCTGGGGATTTTCGTCTGGGGATTTTTATCTTGAGATTTATAAACCTATTCATACACTTCATTTGTGTCTTCTAGTTCTACACTTTAGTAACTAAACTTTTCAGGTAAAGAAACTTTCATTTTAGAATTAAATTCAATTTTATGATGTAATTGCAGAATAAATAAATTGCCAGGTATTAACAACACATACCTAAATAGACGCGCTTGACTTTCAATTCTTTCCAAATCAGTAATATCTTCACTGAGTTTTGAAATCTCGTTTTCCTCTTTTTTCTTCGCTGCATCAACTTTGTAACACAATTGAGCAAAAGTGGAGGAAAGTTCGCTTTTAAAAAGAAATGGAAAATGAATACAACAGAAAACTTCTTGTTCCCATACATATTTTACAAAAAGAAATATTGCTAGCTTTTTAATGGTTTACCTCATAACTTGTTGAATACAATTTGAACTTGTCAAACTGAGAACCGACTGAAGACAATTGGCCGTGTATGCAACAAACTAAAAGTTGAATCAACACCAACAGTCATTTCATATGAGGCCAGCAATTGAGATCAACTTTGGAAGATATTTACTGAACATGCTTATCAGAACATTTCATTGAGGTTTTACACACTAAGTTACCTGATTTTTAAACGCCTTTTCCTTTGCATCATTTGTCCATCGTAAACGTTCAATAACGTATAACAATCCATACAAACCACCACATACAACAATCCCTTTGCCAAAATTTTGACAAGCCTGATTACAAAAAAAAAAATATGAAAAAAATTATGCTATAACAGAGTAAATACTACAACCTATGTTTTGGAAAATATACATTAACAGAATTTGGTGTACAAAACAGTCAAAAAACTCTCAAAGTCAAACTGTTTTTTTAATAAGAAAATGAGATTACAGTCTCTTGGAAAATTTCTGCCTTTGAGAGTTTTCCTTGAAGCGTTTTTTAAATTTTTTCTCCACGTAATCACGTGAAGTCACTCCTTACCAGGCCTCCAACCACAAAACCAGTAGCGCTGTGTGATGTTAAGGTAGCTTTATAGGAAAAAATCAAGAAAAATTCAATTTTTCGAAAGTATCATTTTTTGACAGTTTAACTAATAATCTTTCATATACAATAGAGTTTTATAATACTAGGCTTTTATTTTACGTGATTTTAGAGGTTTTCTAAGATGCACCATGAATTTTTCATTGGTAACCATGGAAACCACACAAACTTTTTTTCAAAATAACCATGTTATACAGTTTTGCATGGTGATTTTCATTTTTTTTTGTAAAAGTAGAGTCCTTACAAAGAGGACTGGTAAGTAGGCCACTTACATCGCCTGGTTACCAAGTCAGAATGTTTATGCGTTCATGCTTGTAAAGAAAGTCAGTGAAATACTTTGTTGTAATCGCGTCAAAATGCCTAATAATAAGAAGTTTCTTCGATCGAAGGGTAAAAAACGAACGTTTCATGGGAATCGTTATGTTAAAGTCGACAATTTAGTTGATTCTCAGTCTTCTGAAACTGAGAAAGTAGATGAAACAAGTACGACTACTTTGTCAAGTGAAGTGGCATCTACGAGCGCATCAGAAATCAGATCCTTGCCTGCCTCAAAAAGAAAACTTCATTCTGATGTTTCAAGTGAGGATGACAAGGGTGTATCTGATGGATTTCGCCTGATAGATATATCTATTCTGATGTCGATTTTTAGCACATTTCTGTGCCCAAAATGTAAGTCTGGTCACGTCGTAATGGAAGAAGACACATCGGCAAAAATGGGACTTGTTTCTCAACTGTCATTCAAATGTTCGGCTCGAATGTGCACATATTCCAAAGTTTTTTATACGTCAAGTCGTGTGAAAAATTCTAAAGCATTTGAAGCAAACAGAAGGTCTGTGTTGGCGATGAGCAAAAATTGGCGTAGGTCATCAAGGGCTTGTGAAATTTTGTGGCGTAATGAATATGCTGTCACCCATGAATGCCAACTCATACAATGACCATGTGATGGCTATCCATGTAGCTGCTGAAGTGGTTGCAAAAAACAGTATGAAACATGCTGCTGAGGAGCTAAAGCAGTTCTATGAACCAGAAGATGGATTGTATGATGTTGGCATTTCAGTTGATGGGACATGGCGACGAAGAGGATATTCATCTTCCTATGGTGTTGTAACTGGCATATCATTGGTAACTGGGAAAGTGCTAGATATCGAGGTTATGTCGAAAGAATGCCGGGAGTGTATGGGCTGGAGCAGCAAGCAAGGTACTGAGGAATTTGTGCACTGGTGGGAAGAGCATCAGCACAGTTGCCATGCAAATTTTGAAGGCTCATCTGGTGCAATGGAAGCTGCTGGATGTTTACAAATTTTTCAACGATCAGTTGAGCAATATGCTTTGGGGTATGTCGATTTTCTTGGTGATGGTGATAGCAAGGCTTACAATGAAATCAAAGAAGCTTCGGTATATGGTGAAAAACCAGTAACTAAACTTGAATGTGTTGGTCATGTGCAGAAAAGAATGGGGTCAAGACTTCGCTCATTGAAAAAACAATTTGGAAGTACTCGCCCAAGTGATGGAAAAAGCATTGGGGGGAAGGGTCATCTAACGGACAAAGTTATTGATAACTTACAGGTATATTATGGTAAGGCAATGAGAAACAATTCCCACAGCATGGAAAGGATGAAGAATGCTATATGGGCAATATGGCACCACACTAAGTCAACTGATGCTAACCCAGACCACAATCTTTGCCCTAAAGGAGAAAGCAGTTGGTGTGGGTATCAGAGAGACATTGTAAAGAATACCCAAGAGTATTCTCACAGTCATCCACTGCCAGAAGCTGTTTCACAGTGTATATTGCCAGTTTTCACAGATCTGAGCAAAAGTCATCTGCTGTCTTCCTGTCTCCATGGTGGCACACAAAACCAAAATGAGGCATTCAATGCTTTGATTTGGCAGCGTGGATCAATTTTTTTAAAGATCTGGCTGAAGAAGGAACTGTAGACCTTACCATTCCTTTCATGTGGAATGCCTTTGGTTTTCTTTTGCAGATTTGCTCCAAAAAAATTTAAATGAAGTAAAAGAGCTTTGGAATTCACATTACATCCAAAAATCAAGGTATGACACTCTGCAAGGAAGGCCAGATTCTCTGTACTATTTTCCCGAACTTTAGAATGGTGAATGTAATTTGATTTTGCCTGTTCTTGAGTCTGAAAGACTATATGCTAGAGAGCATATCATATGTGAACATGATGCACCAAACATGAGGCTGTGTAAACTATTCTCCTTCGACAAATGCTTTAAGTCATATGACACACGACATTCTTTATGTTCAAGACTCTGACACAAGGGACAAATCTGAATCAAACTAAATAACTGTTTTTCATTGTTATTTTTTTGTTGTTTTGTACAAATGTGCAATGTGCATCATTATAAATTTACATTTGATTTAGTTTATTTCATACATTTGGTGCAAATTATGCAATTTTTGTCGATTTTTAACATTGGTGGATAATATGTGAAGTTTTGAACATGCCGACATGAACTTATTTAAAATTCATCTGGCAACACTGTATAATGACAGCTAGCAAAAATGCAGAACTTTACACCAGCAGACACAGTACAAGCTTCCTGGAAATAATATTTGGGTCCACGCAAGTATAGGTACTAGAATGTTTCTAAAGACAGCCGTCCAGTAACAATTACAGTTCAATGCTCCTGGCTTTTGGTAAAGGTATACAGTTTTTCGATTTGTGTTGTTGTACAGGTAAGTTAAATTTATGAATTTATATGGAAATGTTGGAAATGAGGCTGCAAAAAAACATTCAGAAATGGCAAGTGATTAAGATAAATTTATGTGAAATAATATTTCAGTTCTCCTCCCAGAAATTGAAAGAGTTAAGGAGTTTTCTACCTGGTGCCAATGTTTTTTACATTTTACTTTACAATAAACCAAATTCTTGAATGAAGTTCTTTAATTGATCCTCGAGCCTTCTAGCTTTATTTCTATAAACATAAGAAATGTCGCCATATGCAACTTATCATGAGAATGCTTATACGTAAGGGAATCGTTACCCGGAGATTTTTATCTTGAGATCTCAATTTTGTGATTCCTAAGATTTATAAACCTATTCATACACTTCATTTGTGTTTTCTAGTTCTACACATGTTTGCTGAAGCTATGTTAGTCGATGTAGTCAATTTGTTCTACATGTTGTAACTAAACTTTTCAGGTAAAGAAACTTTCATTTTAGAATTAAATTCAATTTTATGATGTAATTGCAGAATAAATAAATTGCCAGGTATTAACAACACATACCCAAATAGATGCGCTTGACTTTCAATATCTTCCAATTCAGTAATATCTTCACTAAGTTTTGAAATCTCGTTTTCCACTTTTTTCTTCGCTGCATCAACTTTGTAACACAATTGAACAAAAGTGGAGGAAAGTTCGCTTTTAAAAAGAAAGAGAACATAAATACAACAGAAAACTTCTTGTTCTCATACATATTTTTCAAAAAGAAATATTGCTAGCTTTTTAATCATTTACCTCATAACTTGTTGACTACAATTTGAACTTGTCATACTGACAACCGACTGACGACGATTTGCCATGTATTCAACAAACTAAAAGTTGAATCAACACCAACAGTCATTTCATATGAGGCAAGCATTTGAGATCAACTTTCGAAGATATTTACTGAACATGTTTATCTGAAGATTTCATTGATGTATACACACTAAGTTACCTGATTTTTAAACGCCTTTTCCTTTGCATAATTTGTCCATTGTGAACCTCCAATAATGTATAACGATCCATACAAACCACCACATCCAACAATCAGTTTCCAACCAACATTATTCCAAACCTGATTGAAAAAAAATATGACAAAAAGTTATGCTATAACAGTCCAAATACTATGACCTATGTTTTGGAAATTATACATTAACAGAATGTGGTGTAAAAATTAGTCAAAAACCCTCAAAGTCATACTGTTTTTTTAATCAGAAAATGAGATTACAGTCTTAAGGAAAATTTCTGCCGTTGAGAGTTTTCCCTGAAGCATTTTTCATATTTTTTCTACACGTAATCACGTGAAGTCACTCCTTACCAGGCCTCCAACAACCACAATACCAGTAGCGCTGTGTGATGTTAAAGAAGCAATGTTTCGAATAACCGCCAACGTCAATTCATGGTCCTTGAGCACTTCGTCACTCCGAGAAGCCGTCGTTTCACCTTCGTCAAGTTCCGTAGATGATCTACCGTATGAAATGGGAACGAATGAAAAACAGACTTTGACAACAATAACAAAAACATATTGACATGAGTAATTCAACAATAGTAGCATATACAACGATATTAGAACAAAAACATTCATCAACAAGTTGCATTTTCAACACTTTTTCACAGAACAATTATAATGAAGTTAAAAGAGAGTTGTGAACTTATCAGGCAATTTGAGGTCTATAAAACAACAATTTTATTACACCATACCTTTGTCCAGAACGAGAAGTGGAAGGACCCCAAAGCTTTCTTAACATTGTTTGCAACCAGTGAGAGAAATGGAACTCTAAATCCTCTTTGAAATCCGAGCAAATATTGGGAATATCAAGTTGATAGGATACTTCAAATTCATGCCTACAACAATCACAGGAGGAACAAAGATTTACATGTAGGCAAAATTTACATGAAGTTTTTATGGAACACATGACTAAAGGAACTTGCAAGTTAGACGGCAGTAATGCGCTCTCTACAATACCAGGTTATCCACAAGTATACATATAAATACCTGGAATCCGACATAGTCATCACCTCATGACGATCCTCTGGTGGTAAAAGTGAAGCTAATTGATCTGCAAAGATATTTATATTGTTAAAACTGTAACATAAAATGGAACTTCATAAAGTATGGCGTAAAATACGAATTCTAAGGTCAACTTTTGCTTACCAGTCATTGATTGTTTAGTTTCATCAATGGACTGGGAAAGAGCTAATCCACATCGCGCTGTAAGATTCCTTCCCAGGCCATTAGCAATATGAGTGACCAGATCTCGTTTGTAAATTTCAATGACAGTAGAATGCGCATGAAATGGATGATCAAACTGATTTACAAGTATTCCTAAACGTTTTATTTCATCATTCATTGCTGTGGCAACCTTGAAATAAAAAATACAGTTTTATTTCTCAAAAGTCATCACGATTTCCTAGTTAAACTAGCTAAATATACCACAGGACATCTTGATCGGACAAGCAGGTAAAAGCATGTTAAAGATCGTATAATTACACACTTAAAATAAGAATCTTTATTGAATGAGGAAAAGACTTATATTTTCCAAATTAGCTTCCCATCAAATGCCAACAAAAAGGAGAAAAAAGTGTTAGCATTCTTTCAGAAGAATGTATGTATAGCTACAATGAATGGTTACAATGTAAATCCGTTAAACTCATGAAGTTCTTTGATAACTGTTGTTTTGAATGACTTTTATGTTTTAAATTTGGTTCGATTAACTTTATACCTGCAACTCAACTTCTTCTTTAATTTCCTTGATTTTATTCTTAAACTCATGACTGATCACATCCAGTTTGTCTTTCATTATAGCCAGTCGTTCCTCCCAGCTACATTTTGCTTCAATACATTTCTGCCTAAGAATTACTATCACCACTCAATAACATACGCAGATCCATGCAAGAAAATTAATTAAATAAAAGCAAAAACTGAAACGCTCCTTATGGCACTAAATACACACACAAGGTCTTTGAGAGAATGAGAAAAATGGTCTAACCTTTCAACCTTTGACTTGGCTTCAATTTTCTCCATGATTTCTCGAACAAATTTTGTTGTTTGCATTCCTTGTACAACATGAGATTCAAATTTTGTTTGAATCGCTGACTTGGAAATGCACTCCTAAAAACCAGAACATTGAGTTTGAGCCCCACAATTTAAGGAAAACTTTAGATGTTATGACTGCAACACAAGAATGAAAGTCTGCTTAACCTCAAACTTTCTTTCAAAATGCTCAAATTCCATTAGTCTTTCTTGAAAACCTTCTGCATGTATAGCAGCCCCTATATAAAAAAATTTATTAACACACAACAAACCATGGCAATGTTTACCGGTGAAGGTCAAAAAACCAGCAAACTTCAACAAAAATCAATAAAAAAAACATTTGTTTCCTTAAACCTGTATCACGCATTCCTTGGTTTTCCTGCATTCTCTTTGTCAGAACCTAAAAATATAGACAGGGAATCAACATTTGAGCTGTAGTTTCTGTTTCTTCTTTCCACCTTACAGGCTGTGTTGTAAATTTTATTGTGGGCTGCCCTTAATTAGGAACATCAGTTTAGTTTATTTAAACTAGGTCTACTACAGCATGTGAAAATGGAGAGTTATAGAAGAGGGAAAAAAAACTTCCGTTTTCAACTGCAAAAACTTCAACTACTCTCTACATGACGTACTTCTTTAGCAGACACAAAGAAAACACGATTCTCTGCTTCACATTGATCAATGCATTTAAGTTCATTGACAAGAAAGCCAACTGTTCTTTCCATATGTTGATTTTTAACCTAATGAAAGAAATCAGATAGAAAGTCTTAAAGAGCTAAGTAAAGTTATTTCCAAAATCCTTATTCCTCTTGAATGTTTAATGATATGAAAATGTACATACTGCCATCATAAACTCTGGCTCAAATGCTGATGCATCCCAGCGATTGTTCAAGATAAAAATATTTGGCCGTGACAGCTTCTGATTGACTTTATTGAAAAATTTCTTTTCCTGTAAAAGTTTTGAAGATTCTGGCTCTTGATTACTACTATCTTTGCAAAAATAATTTTATAGACACAACTTACTGTAACCATCAAAGTTGACTCTGAATTTGCTACCAAAACAAAAACATCTGCATCCAAGCAGTAATTATCAATCCAACTGTCAAGATCTGGACTAACATCAATCCCAGGGCTACAAATCAAAGCATCTTATCAAAAATATTCACAATTTATTTAATGAAGATTAATTAAATTTTTACCTGTCAAGCAACACAATATCATTTCGAAGCAATGCACACCTGAAAAAACAGTTGGTGATTCCTTTTATGAAAGAATATGCTTGACTTTCATCCATTTTAAAATACATACTTTGCTCTTGGCCAATTGACTTGAATCAAGCTACTTGGATCTAGTTTCTCTTGACAAAGTTCATGAGCCAGTTGACTTAAAGACTAAATACATGGAAGTAAAATAAAATCAAATTTCATAGTCGATACACTCAAATGACAAGTCACTCAAAAAGCAATCTCACTGATATATTCTAGCATACAAAAATTTTAGTGTTACATGCATTTTGAAAAAACTCTTTGAAAAATCTACAGTATTTTAACCAAAGTAGAAGTGCTAGGCTAACTGTGCTATGAATTTAGCAGTCGTGGCAAATTCAATAGATAAAACAATCCAAGTAACTTCCAATAACATTTATTTTCTGCTAATACTTGTTTGATAGTCTATATATACAACATACTTGAATATTTTTCTTTTCGTCAGAGCCAGGAGTCAGTACATAAGGTGTCTCAACTTCTGTTCCATTAACACTGAAGAAACAACTAGTTGTATGACCAATACCAGATGGTAAAATACGATCTCTCAACAAGGCATTAATTACAGTGCTCTTGCCATTGCTAGTTCTTCCGAAGAAAGCAACTTTCATACTGTCCCTACGGAGAACCTTTGCTATCCCAGCTACTTGCTCCAGATATGTTTTGACCTTAACACAATTTATTGATTTAAAATGGTATTTTCTTTGGTTTTATTCACATGTAACTAAAAACTAGCAATGTCATTGTCAGTGGCAGAGAGGCGAACAATTTAGTGGAGATCAATTTGCCAAGCTAGATAACATTTGCACTTTATAAAATAGGCCAAAATCAGAGAAGAATTACTTAGGAAATTAATAATGATTTCAATATCAGAGTGTATTCATTAGGTAGATTAAATGAACTCTGAACTCTGCTGAAACTACGACATTTTTACCTCCTCAGAATATTTGTCTATTTCATTGGCCAACTTTTCTGAAACAAAACACTTTTCCTGAAGAAACGAAGATGCCTCTCCTAAGTAGACGCCAATTTCTTGAAATATTTTGTTGATTTTATTCTTCGCTTTGCTAAACAGCTTAAGGGGTGAATCAATAGATGAACCATTGCAATGCGGCTGGCCATGACTCAGTTGTCCCTCTATTTGACTCAAAGATCTCCGCGAACTGGCAGCATTCTTCATTCTTATTAAATTCTGAAATTACAACGAGATGTAAGCAATATTATGCTGCAGTTTCAACAAATTTTAAAGACTAAAACAAGCAACAACAATCATATATATATACAAAAGAATTGTTTTAGTTGTTGGTTAAAGCATTATGCTATCATTCTTTTGTTTAATAACATTTTATTTAACCTTGTAAACAAATATATATTTTCCACATGTTGCATAAAATACAATCCATTACTTCATGTAAGTAGAGTATAGCTACGAGACCTATTTAGCCCACGCCCCTTGGCTAAAAAACCGTTTTATCCCTTCATTCATTCTTCGCTTCTCCTCTCCAAAATACGACAACAAAAACTGCAAAACAGTTCACAGAAGCACACACTTCTAAAGTAATATATTAGCTGATTATGATTCTTATTTATAAAAATTCTTCCTACTATTCATGACTTGCTCTGTCAAAATGTTAGGGTAGCTCCCCCCCAGCCTCCCATGAAAGTTTGAAAGTTGGGCAACTTTTAAGCATTAGTGGTTAGCTAATTTAAAATATGGCGTAACCTTCTATGTGAATTAGGAAAATATTTACAGCCCGAGAAATGATGCCTTTTTATGCCAATGCATATTGAGGTAAATTCACAGACCTAGCTCTATCCACAGACCTGCACACAGGCGGCCCAGGTCTTATGGTCGCTTTCGTACTGACTGAAGCAGCAGTGAACTCGGCGTCTACCTGGGTGTCTGAGCAGCCCTCTTTAGGGATGCACTGCTCACCTCACACGAGGAAGGGACTAGAAAAGGTGTCCTAAAAAAAGCCTGCTTCAACCTTCATCCTGGCCAGCAAGCCGCGGTTGGCGGGAATCCCACACCAGCGGTCGAAATAAAGGAAAGAAAAAATTTAAGGTGACACCGATCACCTTAGGCACATGGAATGTGCGTACATTACTTGACAACCCTTCATCAGACAGACCAGAGAGGAGAACTGCTTTAGTTGCCAGAGAACTTGCAAGATACAACATCGACATTGCAGCACTGAGTGAGACTCGTTTCGCTAATGAGGGGCAGCTGACTGAATATGGAGGTGGCTACACTTTCTTCTGGAGTGGCCGTTCTACCGATGAGCGCCGGGAGTCTGGGGTAGGTTTTGCCATCAGGAACCATCTTGTCCAAAAGCTTGCCAATTTCCCTAAAGGTACAAACGATCGTCTCATGTCAATGCAGATTCATCTACATGATGGTAAACGGGCCACACTCATCAGTGCCTATGCACCTACATTGACAAATCCTGAAGATGTGAAAGACAGATTCTACGAAGATCTGGATACTTTGCTTTCATCCGTGTGCAGTACTGATAAGCTGATCCTACTTGGGGGTTTTAACGCAAGGGTAGGCCGTGATTCTGCCTGGGATGGAGTCATTGGAAAGAGTGGGGTAGGCAAGTGCAACAGCAATGGCCTGCGCCTGCTGGAGTTATGCTCATCGTATGGTCTCCTTATAACCAACACAATATTCCGGCTGCCCAACAGGAACAAAACATCATGCATCATGAATGTACCCCCGGTCGAAACACTGGCATCTCATCGACTACATTATTGTCAGGAAGAAGGACAGGCAGGATGTCAGAATTAGGCCATGTGTGGTACAGAGTGCTGGACCGACCACAGACTCATCATCTCTAAAATGAACATCCGCATCAAACCAAAGAGACGTCCACAGGGATGTATGACCAAAAGAGGATAAATGTTGCCAAGCTGAAAAACCATCAAACAAGTGCAGCTCTATCCACAGACCTAGAATCCCAAATTGCCAACTTCAATCCTGGAGGTAACGTCGAAGAAGACTGGGAATCCTTTAGGGACACAGTTCACTCAACTGCAGTGCAAGTGTTGGGCTACCCTTCCCGACATCAGCATGATTGGTTTGATGAGATGATGAGGAGATTCAGGCCCTACTTGATGAAAAGCACAGACTTCATCGTGCTTACCAAGATGATCCAACTTCAGTCTACAAGAAGAATGCCTTTGCCAGTGCACGGAGAACAGTTCAGTGTAAGCTGCGGGTGATGAGAGATTCCTGGCTCAGTGCTAAGGCTGATGAAATCCAAGCCTATGCCGACAGAAATGATACAAAGCGGTTCTATGAAGCTCTCAACACAAAATATGGACCTCGATCGTCAGGAAATTCCCCTCTCTTGAGCTCAGATGGGACTTCACTAATTACCGAGAAGGAAAAGATCTTGCATAGGTGGGCTGAACATTTTGAAGCTGTCCTCAACCGTCCTTCTTTCATCAATGATGAGGCAATAGACAGGTTGCCCCAGGTCAACATCAACAGGACCATGGATGTTCCACCTGTTGAATCAGAAGTCAGGGAAGCAATAAACAAGTTCTCTAGTGGTAAAGCCCCTGGTGCAGATGCTATTCCATCCGAGATATATAAAGTTGGTGGTCCCACATTTATCCAGAAGCTCACTGACCTCTTCCAATCCTTCAGGGCTGAAGGATCCATCCCCCAGGAATTGAAAGATGCCTCGATTATTCACCTATACAAGAGGAAGGGTAATCGTCAGTCCTGTGATAATCATCGTGGCATCTCACTCCTATCAATAGCTGGGAAAGTTCTTGCCCGAGTGTTACTAAACCGGCTAATAGACCACCTTGAAGAAAGACTGCTACCAGAATCACAGTGTGATTTCGTAAGGGCCGTGGAACTGTTGATATGATTTTCGCAGCACGACAACTCCAGGAAAAGTGTCAAGAGCAGAACCAAGATCTGTACACCACCTTTGTCGATTTGACAAAAGCTTTTGACACAGTCTCCCGTCAGGGCCTGTGGAGAATTATGTCCAAGTTTGGCTGTCCAGAGAAATTCATCTTGATGGTTCGTCAATTTCACGATGGCATGTTGGCCAGAGTACTAGTTGATGGTGAATACTCCGAACCCTTCCCAGTCACAAATGGTGTGAAACAGGGCTGCGTACTGGCTCCAACATTGTTCAGCATGGTTTTCACTGCCATGCTAACTGATGCTAATCACGATGGTGTAGATGGTATCAGCATCAAATATAGAATGGACGGGAGCGTATTCAACCTACGTAGACTGCAAGCTATCACCAAGGTTAAGGAGACCATCATTCGTGACTTCCTGTTTGCTGATGACTGCGCCCTCAACGCGTCTTCAGAATCGGAGTTGCAGATCAGCATGAATAAGTTTTCCGCAGCCTGTGACAACTTTGGTCTAACCATCAGTACCAAGAAGACAGAGGTCATGCATCAGCCTTCTCCTCATACACACTACACTGAGGCTACCATACTGGTGAATGGACAGCGTCTGCAGACAGTTGACAAATTCACATATTTAGGGAGCACTCTTTCCAGAGCTGTGACTATTGATGCAGAGGTGAACAACCGGATCGCCAAAGTCAGCTCCGCATTTGGCAGGTTGCGCACAAACGTTTGGGAGCGTAGAGGGATCACCATTGCAACGAAACTGAAGGTCTACTCTGCCATAGTATTACAACTCTCCTTTTTGCATGTGAATCCTGGACTGTTTACCAGAGGCATGCGAGACAGCTGAATCACTTCCGCACAACCTGTCTCCGTCGGATTTTGAGAATCAAGTGGCAAGACAAGGTGCCAGACACAGATGTCCTCTCTCGATCCAACCAGCCATCCATCTACACCTTAGTGATGAGAGCACAGATTCGATGGGCAGGCCACATTGCTCGCATGCCAGATGAGCGGATACCTAAGCAACTGCTTTATGGTGAGCTATCCAACGGCAAAAGATCAGTAGGATGCCAGAAGAAGCGGTTCAAGGACACATTAAAGACCTCACTGAAGTCCTTTAACATCAACACCGCAACATGGGACAAACTTGCAGGGAACCGATCAACCTGGCGCGATCTCATCTTCAAGGGCTGTCAAGCATCAGAAGAAGGGCGGACTGTGGAAGCCAAACAGAAACGTGAGCTGCGGAAATCAAGAGCAGCCAGTGCTTCAACATCAGATGCATCTCTGGTTTGCCCTTCGTGTTCGAGAACATTCCGTGCCAAGATTGGGCTCATTAGCCACCTCAGAACTCACCGTACCCAGTCTTCTAGTACCTGAGATAACTTATCAAGGTCATCATCGCTTGTGATGGACGAACAACAACACTCAAGTTTGGCGACCACGTGCACTTACCGACATCCATCAAAAGGAGATTTGTTTGGAAACTGTTTCCGATGACTTTTCCGACTTATTTATTTATAATCATTTTTATAATAATTCATTATGTCCATCATTCAGCAAATGTATGTGTATTGTATTCTCTAAGAATCTCGATGTTTGAAGTTACTGACTTTATATGCATGGAGTTTAAACTTTAAAGATAGTAAAAAAATTCAAAATGCAGCTGCAGTAAATTTAATTCAAATAGGCAGCAGTAAATTGCTGAGAGTAAAACAAATGACGTAAACTTTACGGTGGGTGCTTGACCATGCTTATTATTTGTTTTACACCAATAAGCCAATAATTTTATTTTTAAATATTATTGGAGCGTTGTTTCTAATTAGAGACGGTAATCTTTTGTGGACTTACCATGATATTTCCAAATTCTGATGCAAAAGAAAACATTTTTTTATTCGAAAGCATCGTAAATGTCCCTTCTCTCCCCCTCTGGAAAATTTTAAAACTCACCATAGCGCGTGCGTTGCTTGTGTTGCTTGTACAAGTGTTCAAAACATGGCGACTGGCAAGAATGAAATTTTCTTCAATCTTGGAAAGATTAAAGTTGATAAAGTCAACGAACTACTAGAAGAGGCTCAGAAGTATGTAAAAAAGGTGATAAGGGGAGTCTTTGAAATTAATAATGGATAGTATATTTGTGTTTTAATTGAAATGCACGATTTAGCAATATCCATCTACCACTACACTTTGTAGTTCATATTCATAAAAATATTATTACACGCTGAGAGAAAGTTCATGGGCTAAATAAACATGCCTTTTCTGGAGGTGGGCAGGGGGGGCAAAAGTGCCCTACTGGTTGAAAGTTTATTGTTTTTAATCCAAGATAAAGACTACTTAAACGTTGTGGTATATTTCATTCTTTTTAGCTTAGCAATAAAATTGTCGTAACTATGTTAGTTTTCCTTTAACATTTGGCTTTGGAAGCTATGGGCTTTGATGGGGCTTCAGCAATGAAATCCCTCGCAAGAAAGCTCAAGGAAGATATTGCACCAAACGCAATTTATGTTCATTGTTTCAGTCACTGCAATGAACTTATTATACAGGATGCAGCTAAGCACTCTAATTTATTGTCTACATCACTGGATTTATGCCAATCGCTGTATGCAATCGTAGGTGCCCATCCAAAGCGTATTTTATTGTTCGAAGAAATACAGGCAGATTTTAGAAACGAAACAGGAACAAACGATTACAAAGTTCTACGACTGCAAAGTCTTTCTACATCGAGATGGACAACAAGAGTAAAGGCTGCTGACGTTATCTTCGAGAAATCGGCTGAACTACATGCAACCCTTGAAAAATTGCAGGAAGATCCTAGCATTTCGGCAGACACAAAAGCAAAGATTAGAGGAATATTAAGGCGACAACCGTCTTCCTTAATCGTCATCTTTAATTTAAACGCGACAAGAAAGCTATTGGCTTTACTCGAGAAGCTTTCTAAAGAGCTCCAAGCGGTTGATATTTCAGCTGAGTACGCTCTATTTTCAATAAGACATGTCCTGCAACGTCTTCATGAGATGAGAAGCGAAGAAGAGTTTGAGCGTACACTTGATGACGCCAACAAAGTTCTTCGTGTTATGATGTCGTTTCCACTGGAATTTAGTGAAAATTTTGGCACTGGCACTAGACTAAGAAAAGTTCCAAGATGGATGAATAATGAAGAAATGTTAATAACAGAAAGCCTTCACGTCACAGATGCCTCAGTTTACAACAGTGCGAATATAACACCAATGCGAAGCTCGTACTACCAAGCCATTGATGCAATCATCTCAGGTCTAGGATCGCGATTTGAACAAGACGATCTTTTCCAGATCAAATGTATCGAGAAACTGTTACTTAACTCTATGAAAGAAAGAGGAGTATCTTTAGATGGATTAAGCAATTCTTTGATTGATAAAGATGCTCTAAGAAAGCAGCTTGATGATCTTCCCACCATTCTTAGGCTTTACAACGCGGATCAGAAGAAAAAAATAACAGAAGTCACGCGTATTTCAACAATAGCAGAGATACTGAATGCCATGCCGTCAGCAAAGAAAAGGTGCCCTCTCATCTGCCTCGTGCGAACGCACATTCAGCGTAATGCGTCGTCTCAAAACATGGCTGCGGTCCAACACTGAAGGAAATCATCTGAATGATATTATGTTCTCCAACATTCAGAAGCAACACATGGATATGGTGGAAATAGACGTAATTGCCAAAGACTTTTCACAGAGAAATGAAAGAAGAATTAAATATTTTGGAAAATACAATACATGACAAATTGTGAATTAGTGACGTTACATCGTTTGATAGTTATATTATCGTTAATATTAATCGACCAACACTGCGGACATGTGCTTCTGTACAGTGTATTGCATGTAGCACATCTCTTTGCTGTTTATCAATATAAGATTATTTTTAGTATATTTCACTAATGTGCCCTTCCACAAAGGCTTGCCCCTCCTGCCCTTTTGCCGTTCCGGCGTCCTTGCGTATTCTAAAAGATTTTACAATGTATGAGCAGCAGCCAGAGGCCGAAGCCACTTCTGAGGCCAAGGAAAATAATTCTCTATAAGGTCCGAGCAAGACGGTAAATAATGTTTTTATTTCTTTATTTTTAAAATGAAGCAATCCACGTTATAAAATGGTCGATGCGGCCTGTTAAGACTGAAGTTGATTATTTTTATGTGTTTTTCGAATGCTAAGATATGGTACTGTGCGTTATGTCCATTGAAAAAAGCTTTTTCTGATTGAAGTTGTTGATAAAACTAAGCATTGACAGTTTTCATCGTTAGTGGAAATTTTTCTTAGAGAATCGCTTAAAAACTTACTTGAATTCGTTTCTCCTCTACGCGTGGTATCTTATCAACAATACTTTTTTGTCAGATTACAATCTTCATTGTCTATCACCACGTTCAAATATATCGCCTATCAAGTAAGACGTCTTTCCGTAACCAACAGGAAATCAACAATACTCGTCTACTGCAGTCAAAGGCACCATCTTTACATTAATTTACACAACGACAAAAATACGTTGTACTTGCCGTCTTTGTGTAGCCTGCGATAAATAAGTTTTTTACCATGACGCCTCGCAGTTCATAAATGACAAAACTTGAAGTGAATAATATCTTTATGCAAGGTGTTATGCATGTCATTATGTATTTGTTCCACATGATTGTTAAACATTCATTGTTCGTACTCGAACAAATTACCGAATGTCTTTCAAAACTAATCCTGAAAACAATAGATAGTGTTGCTAAACAAAAGAACTGTGTTCACATTAAATGGACGCAATTTTATATAAATTATACAATAAACTTCTTCTAAGGAGATGTTCTCAAGAGAGACATCGTTTTTAGAAATATGATCACATTTCGTGAAGAAGTAGAGACATAATCAACTTTAGACAATACAGATAATAATTACTTACTCAAAAAAAACACATTTAGGTTACAGTAGAAAACGGTGGATGATGGTTAGTGACCATTGAGTTTTATTAAATTAGTAGTTAGTATATAGGTCAGTGCTAGTGACACTGGCTAGTGGCTGCTAGGCATTGTAAAGCATAATAATTTTTTGAAGCCAGGATTTTATAGAAGACACGCCGTCACACGCGTAAACACGTCACAACACTTCAGACCCCAAAATACCTAATCACGTTTCCAAATCCAATACCGTCATAGCCCGCACTATTAGCGGTCAGTGAACAAAGTTTAAATGCCGCTGCCATAGCAACAGAGTATTATGGCGGACGTAAACAAGCTTTTTACATTTTACCAGGAAAATGTCAAATATCCTTGACTGCTTTGCAATGATTGGAAATATTTATAAAACACCACATGGTGAACGTATTTTACAAGTGACTAAAGTCTAAAGTAAACAAGTTCGTGACAAATGAGTCTACCGTTAGTTGTATCTGCTATGAAATTGCACTCTAATCCTATCGCTATCAGAAATTTGCGAGGTGAAGATTTGTTAAAAAGTGAGTTTTCTCGATTATTGCTTGCAGTTTAGAGCGAGTTTATGAATAATTTGTCTATGAAGCTTGCTTGATAGACCGAGCTTAGAGCATACATTTCTTTATAGCTCTATTTATATTATTTTATAAAAGTATCTAGTATTAAAGTATGTTGGAAACCAAACTATTCAGTGAAATCAGTTGTCTTCTATAGAACTCCACCAGTTTAAACAGAAAAAAATAATGGAAAATATTGTTAGTGAGTGTTCACAGACTGAGAGACCAGAGTATCGATGGGTACACATCGTAAAGGAAAGCAAGGAAGATAAATCTAATACAATAAACTCATTGAAGAAAGTTAATAAAAAACGCGCAAGAAGCGTGCAAGTACCGTCAGAACTGCAAACGAAAAAATCAGAAATGATGAAAGAAATAGCCCAAATTGTACGGTAACAAACCTCCAGTCGTACAATCTACGCAAAAGTTTCTCATCTCCCCTGGAGAGCACGTCCACCATCACAAAAGTTGAAAGGAGAAAAAAAGAGGCAGACAATAGACAAACATTTTCCAAGTCAAGATATCAGAAGCAGAGTTGTGCATCAACTCTTCCCCAAACAAAGTCTCATTCTACAAGAAATAAATTAAAAAAGATATACTATTCTGAGGCTCAATCTCAAGTAATTTCAGGTGTTCCTTGTGTACCACCAGTTTCTCCAATTAATGGTAAGAACAAATTTAAATTTTACATTAAACAAAAACTGGTGCACAATACATGCTTTAGATTTCCTTTTATATTGATTTGTCTTCAGTAAATGCATGCTATCAAGGATGCTTCTATGTAATATTTTAGTTCAAAATTTGACTGTTGAAAACGTACCATGTCTTGCTGATGTGAAGGTATAATCACTCAATTGTTGATTTTTGCTATCCAAGAACCAACCACAAGTTTCATGTAACATTCATTGTATATCTTAGAGTCAGCAATTGATGAAGTCAAGACTGCGACATTTGAGTAAGTAAATGTAGTGAATAAGTTAATCATCACCATATTACAGGAGATTTATGGTCTATGCATGATCATTTATAGTGATACAAAGAGAAAAAGCTTATGAAAAGTTACAAGAAAAAACACTAAAGGAGGAGAAAGCAAAAGCCATAGAAAAAGTTGAAAGTTTAAAGAGACAACATCGCTTGGAGGTTACAAAATTTTAACTATTTTCTGAAAGATTTTCCTGACATGCACAACTCAGTTAGTCTTTTTTCTAACCCTTAGATATATGCACTTAACAAGATGATGGAAGAATATGAAAAAAGCAAGGTTATCAATGTTATAAACAAAAACAGTGGTCATTAATCACCACCAATAAGTTTAAAAGTTTGAATTTAATAACACTTCATCTACATCCATCCTTTGCAATCACCATTGGAAATAAAATTATTAAATAATAATTCTAGAAGTAGTATTAATACTTATTTTGATTTTATAAGTCTTTAATTAAAATGGACACTTTGTACAGGGATTTACAGTTCTTTCAATTGACTGATTAATTAACTAACATAAAAATTGTTACTTAGTGCCTTTTGGAGACATTTTTAATTCATTTTCATTTAAATGACAATGGTTAAAATTGACAACACATGTCCATAGTAATAAAGTGTCAGAAAATTACATATGGCTGCAAATTGAGTTGTGCTTCTACATGTGTCAAAGCACACAATGAGTTTTTGGTGAAAATCACTGAATTTAATGGTTTACTCTAAACCTAAATGTGAAACTTACGTACTTGTTGACAATGAAATGTAGTGGAATCATTGCATACAGTAATCTAACCATACAAGCAGATTTTCAATCATCTTTTGACCCTGTTTCATTGTTGGAAGTCTTTTGACGCTTCCTTGCTCGATTTCATTCATAGTTTCTTCAATGGAACGTACATCTTTCTTATTTTCACTTGGCACTAATGACAGCAAAAACATTATATCAACATTCCTGCTAACAGACAAAACATTATTACCTTAAACATATACTAACCATAGCCAAAGCTGTTGTTTGTCACAGTAATTTTTGCACTATCCTTGCCACTGTCTTTGCCAATAAGGTGCTCATATTTTTCTTTGTAGTTGGCTTTTGGTTTTATTTTAATTGGCTTGGTGTCTGATGACTTGACTGTTGATGCCTTCTGTTTCTATAATACCAAACAACATTAAAAAATAAAGCAAACAATTTCTATAAATTCACTCAAACAATGGATAATTTTACTCTACATACAAGGAACCGTTGGCCAATGGGATGAGTCCAGAATATAATTCAAAAACAACTTTAGTCAAATGGATATGTTTGCAAAGGTACCATATATTACTACAAACATACTCAACAAAGAATGAAAATTCCAAATGCAGATTTAAATGTTTGCAGTTGGAATTAACATAAAAAATGTGAATTTGAATATATTTGAATGAGAAGTCAACTACATACCTTTTCTTCTAAAGCTTCTTTTATCTTCATTGGATCATATTCCTTGAAATTTATTAAAACAAATCAACAAATATTAAGTATGCAATTTATAGTTTAGTGTGTATTTTTCTATTACACAAATTACCTCTCCTTTTCTTATTACTGCCAGTTCTTCCTCACTTGGTGCAAATTCCTAGAAAAAATGAAGAGCAGGCATCATGTAAGTAAATGTTATTTATTATTTTTTATTTGTAAGGAGTGAAAACCAAAATTACCCAGCCTTTTTTTTTTATTCTTTTCAGCTCTAAGTGCTACTTACAACTACCAGTAGAAGACTAAAATGAATCTTATCACGAGTAATCTTTGCATGCCTGTCAAAATATTCTTTTGCTGTATTGTTCAATTATAAAGACAGTCAAATATTGCTGTAGTTTAAACATCATACATACCTTTTTAAACAAAATTATATGTCTGTCAATATCTTCTTCACCAAACGAGTATGATGTGATTCCAGCAATTTCAGCAACATCATGACTATTAATAAAATGTAAATCTTCCCAACTGAGTGCCTCATTTAAATTGTACTAGTTCAAAACTCTTCAAACATGTAAGAATTCTACATAAATGCAAGAGAGTTAATAATTTATGGGATTCATACATGTGATCAACTACTTTATAATGTTATGTTGCACTATAATTTCAAATCATAGCTGTCACTTTACTAACATGATACTTCTCTCAATTTTATCCATCGGTGGGTACTTAAAATATGTCTGATTTGGATCTTTCATCAACTCATTCACTTTCTTTTCAACCTATCAGAAAGTAAAATATGATAAAAGCAAGTGTATTATGAATATTGTACACAAGCACACTTAAAGGAAATGCAAGAATAGGATAAAAAATGGAAAAATTTGTTTTATTGTATTCACTATCAACAGGAACTCCATTTCTTTACTTTATGACAGACCTCACTTCGGAATTCATCTCTTTTTAACTTTTCTTTGGCTTGGATCTTTTCCATCGCCTCCTTCTGCTCTACAATAGCAAATGAACATTTGATTCAAAAACTAACGAACGGAATCAATTATAAATTTTTTTGGCGAGATACTTAGGAAGAGGGTAAATTATATACCAAAACGACAACTGCATTTCACTGGTTTTTATATTTCCTACAAACCTTTCAAATTCTTCTTTAAAACTTTGTCAGCTTTAGAAGTTGGAGGTACATCCATATTGTTTAAAATCGATCCAAGCAAGTCCATTCTATCGAGTTATGATATTTTGAAACTAAATTCCTACCATTGTTTGAGAAGAACATTGAAATTTTTTCACATTAACTTTGTCTTACTTCATGTAAGGTAAACTTTACCCAACAAACATGGCGAATGACAACAATCAAACCATGGAAAAACACAAAAACAAAGATTTCAAGTAAAGTTTCTGGTGTTTGGCGTTATGAATTAAAAAAAAAGTTACGAATAAACGCAAGTTATCGTTGTGTTTTACCTTGTTTAAGAAGAGATGTGCTCTCGAATGTTTTTAAGCATCTGTTGAAAAATGAAATGTCGTTTATGTCGTCTTTTCTAAATGCCGTTCATGGGTTTTTTTAATCTGTTCATGTCGTCTTTGAAATTTCGTTCATGTTTTTTGCAATTTCGTTCACGTCGTCTTTTTGAAATGCCGTTCATATTGTCTTTTTAAAATGTCGTTTCGTGTCGTCTTTTTGAAATGTCGTATGTCGTCTTTGAAATGTTGTTCATGTCATCCCTATTAAATTTCAATATTCTGTGGTGAGGTGGAATTCTTGGTCGTATAATTACCGTAAACAACCCACTAAAACCAGCAATTAAAAAAGGTAGACATAAAGGTAGACATAAAGGTAGATATAAGGTAGACATAAAGGTAGACATAAAGGTAGACATAAAGGTAGACATAAAGGTAGACATAAAGGTAGACATAAAAGTAGACATAAAGGTAGACATAAAGGTAGACATAAAGGTAGACATAAAGGTAGACATAAAGGTAGACATAAAGATAGACATAAAGGTAGACATAAAGGTAGACATAAAGGTAGACATAAAGGTAGACATAAAGGTAGACATAAAGGTAGACATAAAGGTAGACATAAAGGTAGACATAAAGGTAGACATAAAGGTAGACATAAAGGTAGACATAAAGGTAGACATAAAGGTTAGCCGAAAGGTTAAAAAATTTCTACAGTTGATCTATGTCAAATAAGCAACCAACATTGCATAAATGAAACATAGTTATATATACGTAACAAATAACATATAGGTAAAACAACATGTTATAGGGTACATGCCCTATAACGATATTATTTATTACTATTATACAACACTGCTTACAAATTATGACAAATAAGTATTCTACAGTCTTTTAATAAAAATTGAAAGGGTAAAATTTTAGGCATTGTGAACAGAGGCACTGTACTCTACTTTCCATACCGTTCACGTTGTTTAAGTATTTAGAATAGATCTTAGTCTTTGAAACTCATGAAGAACCTAAAAAATGGAAGAAAAATAAAATATTTAACGTCACTGTTCAAATGCAAGATGACCGAAGGTATTCATCAAGATTGTGAATATAATCCTTTGGTTGTAAAATTTTATTTTTAACAGATTTAGTTATCAGCAGTCAAGTTATTAGAAATAATTTGCAAATAAACATTGGACGTTTTCTGCTTGTTGAAGCAGTTTGGTAAAAATTCCTAGAAATGTTATTCCGTTCAATCATAAGTGCCGACAACATTTGACGAATGCGCCTGTTCTGAACTGCCACATGACAAATTATAACCGACACTAATGTAAATACAGCAATATTTATAGAACCCAGGAACATGTATGTGCATTACGGACGCAGATAATTTCGAATACCAGGATTATCAATGTTTAGGTATCTTCTAATAACTACAATTGGTAATAAAAATACTTCCAAAAATGAAAGTAATTAAATACCTCCAAAACATCCGAGTCAACAATGTCTACTCGTTTTCGTTCAATTTTTTGTTTTTTTATCTCCATTTCATATAATTTTCTTGAGAAAATGCACTTGAACAAACCATCCCCAACATATCCTGGCTTACATTTACACGTGTTCATATGACACACTGCTTTAGGGTGACACAACTTCAGGTTAAAATGACAAATGGCTAAAATCGAGAACACATTAACTTTAATACTCGTTTATGGAAGATTTAAATCGTGACACGATACAGAACCTTGTGGAGGATTTACTGTCAATTATGGTCTGATATGTATCTAACCTTGACAAATTTGTCCATTTCCATTGTAATCATCTCGACATTTGCATTTACCATCTGTGCAAATTGCATTTGAATCACAAACTAGACCATTTGACGTACAACTGTCTGAAATAACAAAAAAGAAGACAGTTGTAAAGTAGGAAGTGTGACATGTAAATGATAAAGAAACGTTCATTCTTACCAAGACAGTAATGACCATCACCATGATAACCTGAGTTACAAACACATTTACCATACAAACACCTGGCGTTACGGTGACAAAGATAGCCTTTGTGATGGCAACGATCTATAAACACCCATCCCCACACACACACAAAAATTTTAATTTATAGTAGGATATAAAACAATTACGCCAAGTTGAACACTTCAAAAATCTCTAAATGATAAAAATAGTAACAGAACATTTTTACATAACATCACGAAAATAATCATCAATTAATCCCCTGCTCGAAGGAAGATCCTTTCATTCATTATCATCAAGTCACCAACGTCAAATTCTATTGCAAAATCTTTATGGACTTTCTTCTAATTGTCCATAATCATTTACTTTGGAAACTTACGAACCTTCACATACACCACTGACATTGTTTGGTAATTTATCTTCAAGACAAGTTCCAGGACAGGAGAAAGACCCTGGATAGTCGATACAATCTTGATGTGGTGGACAGAAATTCCCTGTATTGTCTGCACATTCGTTAATATCTACATAATTTATTCAAACATTTTTTAAACAAGTCACGAAGAACAACCTTCCTCAAAAATATACAGATCTCAACATTGGCAAAAAGTGTCTTCTTCATGCACTACTGAACTTTATAATGCCTTTAAAATGATTAATTACAATTCAACTATAATAAATGTCATTTAGTAAACAGTTTCCTTCTCTGTATAAATTTTACAATGAAATTATTCCATATCAATAGTCAACGAGAAAGAGTATCGTTAATTTGTACATATACAAAATGCAATATGTGCAACAAGAAGTGTCTATACAAATATAATATCAATGTATAAAGTAGCTGAGAACAACGAGATCACAAGCCTACACAAAGATGTGAATGTATTAGTACTTGGGTATAACGAAGATCACTAACCTATACAGAACTGACCATCTCCATAATACCCTTTTTCACAAGAGACCACTCCTATAAAACATTCCATACAAACATGTAATTAATGATGCTTATCTAAATTCAAGATGTTGCTAGTCTTTTGTCTTAAATTTTATGAATGTGCATCATAAAATTCGTCATTAGATGTTATCAAATCATACCCCAAACATAATCACAAAATCAAAACATGAAATTCTTCAAATTTGTTTGCATATGATAAATTTTGTAGGTAAAAAGTGTTATACTTATTATATGGGAAACGGTTCTTTTTATGATTATAGCACATCAAACCCATAGCAAGACCCTCCACTTTAACATGCAAGCATTGACTCGTATATCAACATCTCTACCACAGAGCAACAAATAGTGTCTGTAAATGGGTTATTGGTGTGTCAATCACAATTTATGGTGATTATTAAAGTTTAAATAGAACAAATTTCCAAAAGAAAATAGATCAAGTAATTTTGTTTATGCACTTACGCCGACCAAAAATTCGTTTTCTCCAAACATTGATTTGCACACAAATCTCTCCAAGCCAAGTTGGTGCTGTGCTTTGCAACGAGATGCGAATTGATTTGGCTACAATAGGATCGGCAAGCTTTACCACTTGATATTTTTTAGGAACTGCAAACGTGTAGAACTGTAAAGTAGAAGTTAACAGGATAGAAGGGCTTAAGTTATTGATATGAAAAGAAACTTGGGTTTTAGGCAAAAAGCTGGAACTTTGTTAAAACATCTTAAGCACTACCAAGCACTACCAACAACAAAGTACAAACAAAGAAGAAAAAAAACAAGCAGAAGTACGCGTGCATTCCAGAAAAAGTCAAATACAAAAGCATATACAAACGAAGACAAAAATGCAAATACGTATTTGTATAACTAAGTTAGAGTATCTCGTTGTGAACTTGTTTATATAGAGTCGATTCAATATTAAACTCATCACTTATTAGCAAGGTGTAGACACAAACAAACACAAAGTGAAATGAAAATACTACCACAAAATCAAACATAAATGAAAACACAAACATGACTGTCGTTATAGTCAATATGATACCCACTGCTAACTTGATGTAAGCATAAAGAATCAAAAACAGCGAACAAAGGTGACATAAAATGAACACCAAACTAAGTTTTCCTTCCACAGTAAACATTAGTAATTGTTAAAAACATTTTTTACAAACCATCGTTCGTCTGTCTTCTTGATAACTGGTCCAGTATTTATTTTTTGGATGAAAATAATCTATGTGGAATCGCTGTTTCACAGCTGTCGTATCATTAACTGTTCTTACTGTGACCGTTTTTATAACTTGTGGACTGTTGATGGAAATAGCAAATGCTTCTCGATCCTGTGCGTTGAAACATTGAGCTAAGAGAGAGAAAGAGAGCTTCAGTAAGATTTAAAAAATAATTTTTTGTTGATCAAAAACAACACTGTTAAAGCACAATTTACCTTCGTATGTTTTAAGTGCTAGATGTTGAGCTAAACATGTCATTTGATAAACAAAAAGTTGAAGTCAATTTAACAATTGATTGATGATTGAAGACAAGGAAGTTTACATAATTTTTAAACTTACCTGGGAAAGAAAATAGAACAAACACAATACATACAGTAGTTAAAACAACAGATTTAAAGAAATCGTCTTTCAGAAAAAATTCCATCTAAAATACAAGTAATTGAAAAAGCAAATAACTTCTTCGCAAAATCGCTCGGAATTCATAAACTCGAAACCGTTAAATATCGTCACCATCACGTATAAAAATATTGGTGATATGATTGGTTCATTTGGTTGCATGACAAGCTGTAAAGCATGAACTTGTTGCATTTTTTTACAAAACAAATTTTCCAATGTTTCTTCAATGAATGCATACATACATTGGGACTTAGGCTTACAACAATAAAAATACGCTTTGAAAATGCAATTTTTTAGTATAGTTACTTCTTTTTCACATTTTTTAATACCATGAAATGTTCATACCAATCAAAGCCTTTCTATTAGAACAATATACTGTAAAATACAAACCGATTTAATCTAAGATTCACAAGTTTTTTAACTCAACTTCTTTTTAATACACACCATGCGCTCATATTTTTAGCTAGCTGTATGAAAGAATGACATCTCCATTAGTGATCCCCATTGCTCGAACATTCGTCGTAGTCGAAATTTTCCATTGAGGTGGAGGCTTTTCTCATTTTATTTAAAGCTCCTATGACATCGCCGTAACAATTAAAAAAACCATCTGGGCATAAACCATCTATAAAGAATGACATGTATGCTCAAATTTAGTATCCTCGTAGAGTCTCTAAGGCTTTAAACAGAAAATAAAGACACTGGTCAAGTACCACTTATTGTGTAAAAGTCCATGTATATGGACCAGTAAATACCAAAAAAAAACTTGTTTAAAATGAAAAACGACTCTTTCAGCAAATTTAGTGCTCACCAATTTTATTGGGTTGAATTTTTGTTTCTTTGACTTCCCCATAGTGAATATCAAAGACACATTGTGTTCCATTTTTGATAAATCCTTCTTGACATTTACATTGATCAATATCACAATAAGAATTATTCCCACATTTTATACCAAGTGCTTCACACGAGGCTATAACATTAAAGCATTAAATATTAAGGTGTTTGTGTTTAATTATTTCGAGTAAAATAAAACATACTTTGACAAATACGTCCATCACCAATGAAACTATTCTTACATGGATCACATGTAAATGATCCATGTTTATTCTTGCAAACGCTGTTTGGATCACAAAATTGACCTGTGCTGACGTCACATTCGTTGAAATCTTAAAAAAAATGTCAACATAACCACAGCTTGGTGACTATATAAAGTAGTTTTCATTATATGGAGAGAATCCAGTGTTTCACATGCTGTTTATAAAACCGGAAAATGCACAGGATTACTTCAAGACGGCAACTAAATACATTTTCCAAATGAAATACACAACTACGTATTGCTGTTGAATTGCTTCCATACGAGATCAGTGGAGGTCTGGATAAATATCGCTTCCTTAGGTGATGTTTTCCTACAGGGAACTGATAGAAAATGGACGACTGCTGGTCAAAGATATAGATCGTTAGAAGTACATTGACCCCACCCTTCGTAGATATTTATTATATGAAAAGATACTCTTCTTTTTGCACAAAAAAACTGTGGAGTACAAATAGCTCATGCAAATGAAAATATTTTTAACATTGCCTTGAATATAATCAATCAATTGTCTTTTCTCAAGTTCTTCATACCTTTGCATGTGTGGCCATTACCAAAATAACCCAAGCTACATCGGGGGATTGGCCGTTTGGCACAAAATCTTTTTGAAAGATGACGTAATTCGCTTGGAGTGCAGAGATCCCTACGTGGAATGTTGCAACCAAAAAACTCGATGTCACTGCATGTTGAAACACCATAAGGTGCGGGATATATTTTGATGGCACTTGTCAACAAGGGTATTGGAAGAATATGAGTGAAAGATCTAGTGACATCACTGTTTCCGCTGAACACCTGACAAAGAACGCGTGTTCTGTTACATGTGTTTTATAAACAGTAATCAAAATCTGCAAGAATTTAGTGGCATGCTTATTGAAAACTGTTGAGCAGAATAATCTTATTGATGTATCTCAGAAGCTAGGAAGTTAGTAAACCAATTATTGGTTCTTTATTTATCTGTGTTGCCCTTGACTATTGATCACCAACCTTTATTTTGCCATTAACTTGATAAGGAAGCCATTGTTCCCAAGACTCAAAGTACATATAGAATTCTCTAATTGGTTTTTGGTTACGCCTTGAAGTGAGTTGTATCATGGTTATATGCCTTTGAGTGGGTAGCGCCATTAGAATGTAAGGTTTATTAGTTCTTGTACATCCATCTAAACAAGAAGAACATTAGAGAAAAAATAAATATAGAATAACGAAAATAGTAAAGAATTTTTCTCGTCTGTAAATTGATTTTCTAAATTCAATATTAATGAATCTTGAATACGTAGGTTATTTTTTCCTCACTCAATATTCATTCATTTTCTTACATTTATAGACTACAAAAGAATGATATCAACCTACTGGTCTAGCGATGTCATTATAGGTTATGATGAAACATTATCAAGATATTTATGAACAGTCCGAAAAAATTCATGCGAGAAAATGCATTTGAAGAAGGTTACTATAGAGTCATTGATGATTAACAAAGAGACTTACCTACTGGCTCAACAATCTTTTTATCAAACTCTGAAAAGAAAACAAGAGAACTATAGTGTTTAGAAACAAAATTAGCAATAAAAACGAACAGTTTATTAAAACCTGGTTCACAACCATATACTTCAACAGCGAGACAGCATTTCACTGGCAAACAATTCTTTGGATAAAAACGCAAGTATCTCGCTCGCACTGGTAAGACAAGCTTAACGATTTTCATTTTTTGAAACAATCGTGTCGTCACGTCGTATATCTGAAAAGATGAAATGTAGAAATCATTGTCAACGTGGAAATAATTGCATGTTGACAACACAGCTCTTTGTCAAACTACATGAACGTGAAAATTTGCAATGCGCACATAACCAAAATAGTTGATTGTCAGGGAAAATATTCTCACGGAAGACCATAAAATGGTGGATTTCCATCTCTACGACAACATGTTGTTTTACCTGACCATCGCTTTTCCAATCAATACCATTTTCACTGTGATCGATCTTTATTTTTGAAGCATGACGATTTCTGATCTTTTTCATCGTACCAGCAGCAGTAACGTTTCGGACACGTCCGAGATCAATCTTTAAAAAAATTTCAACAAGTAATAATAAAAAACGAGGATCATTTTTAAATCATATCATCCATTCAAAATACAGCTAAATAAACACCATAGTTCATCAACCTTAAAACTAACCAGTAATATTTGATCAGGGATCAGATTATTTGAAATGTAATGAAATAACAAAATCAATACTACAGTATTTATATTTAGCTCTTGTGGTTTTTACCTATATGCATGCATGCATATAAATTTTGATCATTTTGCTACAGTTTTGTCGACGGGAAGTAATTTTTTCATTAAAAACTCTACATTTCATTAAAAAGAGAAACCAAAAACATACATTTTATGATTAAGACGTAAAATTTATCAACGAGGCTTGACAAAAAATGAAAAACTTAATAAATGGAAACTGTGTGAACGAGAACATTTTATGGCTCATGTTGAATAATAAACCTGTAAATAACTGTTTCGATCATTATTCTCTGGACACCATGCACCCGATGTTCGTGTAGACGCACGTCCGTATGACGTTTTACCAGCTGAAGTCCAAGATGATGAGCTGAAATGATATTGAGGAAAGTATCGTTCATCTGCAACCATGAACGGCTTACTACATGTCTCACGAGCGTTTTCCATTTCTGTCCAATTGTCTGTTATCTCTGGAAAATGGAGGTAAGGAAAACAGTCCACAACATAATTAGTAACGAGGCAATCAAATATTTTGAATCAAACTGTAAGGGTTCTTTCTGACATTTTGACAAAAACTAGGTGTTGTCTGTTTGGGATACATTGTCATTGTTATTGCACCATCCACTAACTACAAAGGTCAAAAATAAACAAAGGTCAAAAATTTTGGTTTCTTACTTTCAAACGATGTACATTGGACTCCACGATCCACACGCGTGTTCCCATGTAATGTCCACGTGTTGATCACATCTTTCCATGCAAGCCAAGGTCTTCCATAGCCAACAAAGCAACAATGCTTATTGCTCATTTTGGACCTTACTAACATAGAGTTGGTCTTCCATAAAACGATTTCAAATCGAGTAATAAGTCCGTTGAACGTATTTGAACTACTCACAATGGATTGACCCAGTCTAAAAATCCCCGTACCAGGAAGTCTATGATATGAAACACGAGCTTTGTGAACCAGTTCATCGTTTATGTAATATCGAAGCCATTTTTTTTCGTATCGAGAGAAGCGACCAACAGAGATAAGAACCCAAGCAGTTTGCTCTAGTGTAATATTCTTCGCATTTGTGTCGACTTCACTGTTTGGAAGAATGAAAACAAGTTGAAATCGTCCATGATGGCAAAATGCTTGTGTATTGTGTACCTCAAACAAACAAATCAAGTTAATGGTTAAGCAAACTCGATAATTGAGGGGTGGGGAAAGACATACATAATTGCCACCGTCATCTCCACTACTCCAAATTTCTGAAACGAAAATACATATCACTTACCTGGTATGGTCAAAAAAATGAATCCGACTACGACCACTTGTAAAATGAGTCAAGCCCAGAAGACGACGATTGTTCACATAATATGAAAATAACCCAACACTGGCCACATTTTTAGAAAGTCGTACTTTGACCCACATGAAAATGGTAAAATCTCTAACGATTGGTTTTTTCCCAGAAATCTTAATCTCTGCATACGATTGGACAGCTTGCTTCTTTCCTTTAGCACTGACTAAACATGTAGCATCTATGGAAGAAGGATTCAGTAAATAAAATACACACAAAAATAACTACAAAAGCAGACACAAAAAATGACAATAAAAGCGCAAACATTAATGTAGTTTAGTTTGAGCATTTCGTTGGTAATTTATTGGTATAAAATCTTAAAATAGCAAAAGAAAAGCAGTCGTTACCAGGGTTTATAAAGCTCTAGTCTATATTTTATACAGAATAAATTCATTCGGTTTATTTTCTGTTTAACTGTATAAAGTCCGTGATAATAGTAATTTCTTATGTACCTGATGATGGTATTTTTGCCACTGTTTGTGAACATGGATCTACGAAAATGAGAAACACAAAACAACTCAATCTTCTTCCCAAATTTTTTAATCCAATAATTATACGTATTGGCAAGCCACACAAATTTTAATATTTCACCTTCAATATTCTATGGTAAAATGAATAAATAATATTGAAAATAAGTAAAGGAAAAATGAATAAGATATTTTTGTTAAAAAAAGACAAAAAAGTTAGCCTTTCTTCACAATTACCTACAGTTTTACTAGCTGCGAGTTGCTTTACCTCTTTTGTCAAAATCACAAGGATTTGCTCCATTTCTGTCAACAAAAACACTGAGTTCTAATCGAGGAGCTTGTGATGTTACCGTTAGTTGTTTGTCCTCAGGACGAATAAACCATCGTGAATTTTCCCGACCCTCAGGAACGACATAAAAGGACTTGGAATTTCTATCGTATTCACAAAACCATTTCTAAAACACAGAAAAATATAAATCATTTGTTGTTCTGTTAGAGGAATCGGAAAGATTGGTCGTCATCTATTTGCTATTTTTTTGTGTCCAAAATATTACCTAATATTACCTTTAGCTGTAGCAAAAATGGCAGTAGTTTTGTTACGAAATTTTTCACTTGGAAAAGCACAATAGTTTAAAGAATCAAAACAAACTTAGTTCTGCAAGGAAGGAACTAAGATTTTCAACAGTGCATATGTATAAATAAAAGTTAGAAATGCACTATGCACACTCTTTTCTGAAATACAAAACATTGTATTTTCTTAACCTGATATGGATTTCGATGATCACATCTTCCCATGTATAGATCACGTTTAGAAGTCAACATTGATGGTCCAACATTTGTTTCCACACATCTTCTACTCATTTTATTCTGAATTTGTCCATCTTTTGTCCATTCCCATCGAAAATCTTCTTTGCTTGTTCGACAATAGCTTATTTTCAGCTTTTGTCTGTGTGCTCGAAGACATTTATTCAGCGTGGGGTTATAGATCAAAAAGCTTTTTGTGTATATATATGCTAGACAAAATAAACTATCATAACTTTGGGAAAACGTACTTTAAAACTAACAGGAAAAATACGATTAAAGCAGCTGGATTATTAACAGAAAAGTAAAACCTGAGACGCGATCAACTTTTAGAACAACGATCAGTGCATTGATGAAGAACCAAATGAAAAGAAAAAAACCACTCATCTTCGATATTTTTTAAAATATCTATAGATCACGTTCAAGCACTGCACTTGGCGTGTCCTTTGAAATAAAAACAATTTTAGCAATTTGTCATTTTGATTTTGCTGACGTGATATTGCACCATCTGGAACGGCCAAAATATTTAAGATCCTGTCCATAGAGAAGATATATGTCATATATAGCTCAAATATCAATATATTCAATTTTTTCATTTCTTTATAACCAATGCATTTTGCAAAATAAAGCTGGGTATAAAACTTGTAATGTACAATTTACGAATTAAAATATTCAAATTAAATACATCAACTTCAAACTTTTCAAATATCTTAAGTCATAAATGAAGTCAATTTATAATCACTGAAACAAAAGTCTACTTAACAAATGATAAAATTTTATGATCGTCGTGTAAAACATAGAAGTTCAACCACCAATATTATAAGCTTTAAAATACAGTAAGAAGATGTTTTTATCTTTCACGTTCCAGCAATTATATCATCAATTTCTCGACACCATCCGTCATTATATAAAATTAATGGTTTGAATAAGTATCTTTATGTGTTTGTATTTGTTGATCTTACGGGTCAGTGGAGTTTTGAGAAGAACTGCTGGTGTTAGTTTTGACTGACGTTTTTACATCCTTAAAGCCTAGGGTCGGTTGCACGAAGCCTGAATAGCGTTACCCAAGAGATAATTTGTTAGAAAATTTTCAAACTTGTAAAAAAGTGTTTGTATTTGTCTTACGACAAAGAAATGTCGTAATCTTTGAAACAATATTTTATTTCAGTGATTGTTCAGTTCGAATCTTATATTTTTTTGCTTTTTAAAAGGTTCTTTAAAAGTTTTAAAAAATTGCTATCTAATGAATAGCGTTATCCAGGCTTCGTTCAAACGCCCCCTGGTCCTCAAGCGCAAGATATCGAAAGTCAACACGAACAGTCTTTCTGTGGACTATGCACATACAAACATGTAACTATGCGTCATTGTTATAGCTACTAAGTAAAATGCTCCAAAAATAAAAATCTCCTTCTCATTGTGTTTTTAGTAAACAACTTTAAAATGGAGATTACGTGAAAAGTCTACGATTCAACGCTTTCAGCTTGAATAGTATTGTCGACCAATTTATCCATAACGAGCAATGTCAATAAATAAAGAAAGACGAAAACAGCTAGGGACACAGAACTGAAGATAATCAGGTAGGTATAAAGAGCGCTACCCACTAGAGGGCCAATGATTAACCCAAGTTGTTGCGTTGATGACAGACAACCTTGGTAAAATCCTTGTTCTTCAACAGGTGTAATTTTCGATAATAATGATTTACCAACAATGCTTGTTACAGGTGTTGCTAGCAACATAAAGAATACCATAAGTAGACCTAAAACCAGTCCACCATGGGATCCTGGCTTTGATAAGGCAACACCAAGCAACGCAAATACACCAACAGTTCCCATGGCAGTTGAGCCAAGCAATAGACTTCTATCAGATATATGTCGTGAGACCAACCACACAAGTACAATGATAACAACAAGCTCTACTCCCGCAGCAACATATAGACAAGCAAGGTACGTTATTGTAAAATTAAACATCTGTACTCCTATAAGGGGAGCTAGCGTCTCGAACGCACTTTGGCTAAAATACATCAAAAACTGAGAGAAAAACAAAACCAAAATATCGATCCGTGAGACAGCTTCTTTTATACCATCACAAAAAGTGCGAGTTTTTTTCTTTGTTTGACCGTCTTGTCGCCGTTGTGATAACAAAATATCAATATAATCCAACTCACCTTCATTCTGGTGATCAAATGAGCAAGTTGATCCTCTACTATGTTTCTCATCATCGATGGATCCCATTGTATCCTGTAGCGATCTCCGAGAACCCATGCCATCGTCAGAAGACTTTCGTTGACATTCTGGCTTTGAACCCAGCGGATCAAGATTCTTTGAAGTTTTTCCGTATAAAATCTCATCTTCAAGATGTCTAAACTCTTTCGTGATGTTATTCACCATAAACAAGTGAATAACGAAAACAATTAACCATAATATAGCCATAAAAAATCCTGGTGCATTTTTCTTATCAATTTTCCATGGGCCAATTTTAAAATCAAAAGTTTGTAAAAAGAAATTAAATGATGGTCCGATAGTAATTCCAAGCAGACGCACTCCTTCCATTATCGTAACTATTCGCGTACGCTCGGAAGGCATCGTGACACGTGACACTTCTCCATAAAGTGCCGACACGTATCCTGCACCAATACCAGATATACATCGACCGATCACTGGCATGTAGACATGCAACGGTATTGCATACACAATATTACCGGAAAAATCTAGCAAACATGCAAAAGCCCCAATAGCGCGTATGTTTCTTGTTGCGTCAGCAATTTTGCCCACAATGGGGGCAAAGATAACGCCTACAAGCGAGTCAGCGGCTATAGCCAATCCTAAATAGTAGTATGGGGCATTAAATGATTTCAGGTAGAACCAAAGAGAGGGAATGACAATTGCGTAGTTAATACCGACAATAAATCGACGAATGGCAAATCCGATGAAAGTTAACTGACGTTTACTTTGAAACGTAAACTGAAATGGAAAGTCAAAACAACCTTGTGTTTGTGAGAGCATAATTACCCTTTGCAAGTATCTTCACCAAGATGTATTAACCCTGAAATGAAGGGTAAAGAATGTTAAAATAAAGATATCTAATACTTTCTATACAACTTTATACTTTATACTTTACTTATACTTTCAATAAAATAAGTTTATGCTTAAATGCAATCATTAAATTTTTACATAGACAGACAAACAAGTTCACCACACGACATGCATACTTGTCACATTCACAATTTTCAAACTTTGTAAATGAAATTTTATCGCGCAATAGCACAACATACTACTCCATTACGACAACTTTATAAACATTTTCACAAGCATATAAGCGATGCAACGACATTCACCTTTCAAACAGCACATTATAATATAGGCAACGGAAACTGGATATCTAACACAGAAAACTTACCATTATAATGGATTGTTTCTCCTCAAGATTACGGCTTTATGATTTACACAGAAAAACCTTTTAATACTACCTTGAGTAAACAAGTATTTTGATTTGATTTTCCTACATTTCATGCGCGAAATACTAAAGCAAAGGGTGTCACGCTTGGAACAAATGCGTTTAAACTGGATGCAAATCTTGTCCCGACACACTTGACCTCTCACTGTTGTCCCGGGGGAGTTTATCCTCGTCTTACCATATTTGCTTGAACTCATAAGTGGTCATTAAAGAATTCCCAGAGTAAAAATTATGGTAGAATATAATCTATATTTTTTAATGTAAGTAAAGACGTCGGTATGTACTGGTGAGTTAAACTATTTGATGAGTTAAGAATTTGTATTACTTTCAATCATATTAATACAATCTCCCCCGTTCATTCAGTGTTCAAGAAAACACGAATTCAAACCAGTCATCCGAGACACATAAAAACAAAACAACATCACCGTGAATATTATATTACATGGAAAGCTATCTTAGGAATCGTAAAATACTGCTTTGAAAACATGAAATCGCTGAAAGCGCAAATGAAGAAAATGTGAGATATTAAGATAAGCATGTTGAAAGCGTACAGGCTTTAAGTTTGATACAAAGTATTGTAAAACACGCTTTGTTGACCACATTGTAAAAATTAAAATAAGCCTCGCATGTGCGCGTTGAAGCATAATGGAGATAAAATTATTTTTGATGTTTTAGGTGAAATTTTGACATGGTTTCAATCCAATGAAGTGAAAGGAGATGGTGATTAATTTAAAGGCAAGAGCTTGAGGTCTCAACTTGACGTATCTAAAACTTGTTCACGAGGTGAACGCGAGACAGTTAGACAACGAAATGCTTTGTGAAACCAAGGGTAGTCTAGAATCCTCGTTTGAACTGACTCAACAAACGAAAAGACAGCTCACGCTTATTTGTTTTGGATTACGTCGATTTGCAGCAGGCATTGAATATAGTATTATCCTACCTTCAGTTTACTTTTATTTGAAATCATTCAATGTTGGAAACTATTTCTTGGGTTTGGTTCTAACCGCAGACACCCTTGTTGCCTTCTGTCTTTCGCCTTTAGTGCAACTACTTTGTGAGAAATGGCAACGCATCCGATTACTTGGCTTTCTAGCTAACTTATTTCAAATAGGTGGCAGTATGGTTTATGCCCTATCCTTGTACTTCTATTTACCACTTGTTGGTCGCCTCATATCGGGTGTGGGTCAAAGTTTCAGTGCTGCTTTGTACGCAGAAGTAAAATTCTTAACCAGTTCTGAAGAACGCGGTCGTGTTATGATATACATGGAAGGTATTCGACTATTTGGTGTTGTCATTGGTCCAGGAATGAACTTCTTCGTTAAAGATTTCGACCTAACCTTCGGACCTTGGGTGATTGACGAGCGAACTGCCCCAGGCTTCTTTATGGCCATCGTCTGGCTGTTAATCGAAGCCATTCATATATTTACCGTCTATGACTTACGTTCTGATCCGAAATCTTATCGTGAATTACGTGGACACGATGATGAAAATGGTACATCATTGCAATTGGTCGAGATGAAAATGTCCGAAGTCGATGATGAACAACCACAATATGTTGACGATGACAAAAGTAGCAGTAAAGGACCAACAGAAGAAATAACAACTATGGAAGAAGAAACTGGTCAACCAAGACAAACCATACCAATCATTGATGAAGAGAGCTTCACCGAGAATGTCGATGAAATGTTACCTGACAATAACTCAGGAATTTTTAAGCTGTTGTTTAAGCGAGACATAATGTTAATTCTTGTGTGTCAGTTTGTTATGTTCTTCAACCAAACGTCATTTGAAATACTCGTGTTGCTTGTTGGCGTCAACCAACTAGATTTTGATATAAATATACTTAGTACTATTTTCATTGTGGCAGGTGTCGAGATGGTAGCTGTTATTATATTGGTGTGGTCAGCCAATCAGAGTTTGGATTCAAAATATCTTCTTCATACGAGTGTTTCTGCTGGAATAATTGCGTCCTTTGCAAGGCTTGCTGTCGCTTTTTCCGATCAAGGATCGAAAGGATGTCTTGTTATGTCAATATTAATGGGAATTTTCACTATTATAGGAACACCGACCGCAAGTATTGCCGGCAAATCAATTCTTCCCAAGTTAACCCATCCCCAGACCCACGTTTTCTATCAAACAGCGTTTGCCACCTCGCAACATCTTGGACTTATTACAGGATCTTTAGTTACAAGCGTATTGTACCATTATCTTATTGTCTTTAGTTCCGTGGTGATAACTGTGTTGCTGGTTGTGTACCTATTGCTCTTGCCAACTGTTGAAAAAATGAAAATAACAGCACGTGGCTGTGGGACTTCGTAATGAACATTTAATGAAACTATTTGTGTGTAACGAAACTTGCGTGAAGCACTACTCTAAATTTTTATGTCCAGAAGTATTGTTTAAATTCGACCTCAAAATATAGTGAATGGTTGTGAGCTGTCTGTCGGTCTATAAATTATTTCTCAACAATAAATTGATATTGTTAAAATTTTATTTCATTTTCACATTGCATGTTGAAATTTCAATAATTAGCTTCACAAAATTTAGACACAACGCAAAATACCCAAAAACTAATCTCAATGCAGTGCGTCCAAAGCATTACTTGATAAGTGAATAGGACTATTTCATGACAACAGTAACAGATAAACACATTCTATAGTTCACGTAGGAAAATAAATCTCAATGACGAAGTGGTCCCCAGGACACAGCGGATGAGAAAGGTTTGCTGCTGCTTCCAATGGCAGGAAAATCTTCCGTGTCCGCCATATTGAGTACGGCTGGTGGAGGTTTGGGAGAGAGTGGGGGAGATGGCCTGCTCCAAGGAGCATCACGGACCACAAATTCAGTTGGTCTGTATGATTTACCATGGCTTTCATTATTCTTGCTTGGTGGATTCATATAATGATTAACCAAATCTTTCTCCTCTTGTTCAACACGAACCTCGTCAAGCTAAATAAATACCAGGGATTCAACAAAATACTACAAACGTCTAAACAGCAAAGAAATCAACTTACATATTCTTCTTCGAGCATAAGTAAATGATCTCTCGCATCCTCCACGTTTTCAGGGGTACCACTGATCACAACAGGACCATTGGGATCATTTGAGCGAGGAAAACGGATGTCTACTTTGAATTGCTCCATAATCCTACGGATGGTGGCCCCACGTGCTCCAATAAGACGACGATGAACTCTGGGGTCAATGTCCACTTCAAACACCGTTTGATCTTCCTGAAAAATGCATAAAAATGCTTTAACTGCATGATTAAGGTTGCAAAATAAAGTGAATAAACACTCCTTACCAGTTCTTTTACCATACTCTCAATTTCATCTTTAGCAGCCAGGCAGTTGTTTTCGTAACCTGTCAAAGTGATGACATCAGAGCCTCCATCTTCACCAGACTTTGTCGAGGGAACTTGAATCATAACATCGTGTTCTTTGCGAATTCTGTCAATGATCACTCCTTTTCGTCCGATAATTTTTGGGTGGTATTTCGGATCGACAAACACTTCCAGTTGGAAATTACGAAGTACCTATAAAATTCCAGACGTTGTGGTTAAAAATATGGCAAGTCTCAAATGCACACAAGCAAAAGTACCTTGTCTTCATTTTCAGCCTCGATTTCGTCAACACGTTTGTTCAAGGCATTGATGGCTTGCGCAACATTCTCACGAGGACCAAAAATCTCAACGTCATCACATTCGTCACGTGCAGGAGGAATGATTATGTTCACATCATATTCGTTCATCATTGAACGAATGCTTGTTCCTTTCGCCCCAATGATGTAACGATGATAATCAAATGGAATTTGAATCGTCTCGGTGATAGGAATTAATTCCTACAATGCACAAAGTATGTATTAAAAAATATAAAGATCTTTGACGTCTGTAGTTTTACTTCACCAGAGAAAGTATTTAAACAGAGTTGAAAATACAGCATTTTAGAATAAACAAATTGTCATTATTTACTTACACGTAAAGCTTCCTTTGCCTTCTCGACCTGTTCAATGTTACCAGTGATTTGGATAATATCACACTTCTTGACGGTCTCCATATCTTCGGGTGGTGATGTCGTACCTTCCCCGTTCATTGGAGAATGATCGCCATTTTCCGTACCGTTCGTTGCAGCACGTTCAGGAAATTTCACATACACATTAAAACGATTTTGAACTCCTAAAGCGTGACGTGAGATGAAAATAAACTGTCATAAAGAAACATATTAACATTACATGATAAAATATCACAGACCTTGCACTGTAGCGCCTTTAGCACCCATCAATGAACGATGATGTTTTTGAGGTATTACAACCTCTATTGTGGTATTTGAATCAAGTTCATTGACAATCTCCAAAATCCTTTCCTTAGCTCCTTGTACACAGTTACTGGCGCCCTTAAGAACGACACGATCAGAGCCACTGTTATAGCGAGGAAAACTGATTGTTACGCCACCAAAATCTTTGATGATTTCGTTTAGCACTTTGCCTTGTCGTGACACAAAATGGCGGTGATGTTTTTCTTCCACATGAATCTCATCTTCGACGATATTGTCCTGTTGAGTGTCAAGAAGGAGTTTTAACTGTCTTTAGTATAAGTGAGTGACATAGAAACAATTGTGTGGCAACTCATACAAATATATCTTAGCCAATTTTGTCCATGCTTTCGAGGAGTATCATTAGCTATTTTCGCTTAAACGAGGACAACTCAAACATTGAATTCTTTTTGCCTACCAAATCCTTGATTGATTTTTCTAAGTCTTGTTTTGCAGCACGCACAGCCTCTTCCGTTCCCATGATGTGAATGGTTTCTTGATCCTCGTCATCTTTGGATGGAAAGATGATACGGGCACCAGTGTTATCACGCACTTTTCTTATGTTGACACCTCCCCGTCCAATCAAGAAACGATGATAGTCACTTTTTGCATTAACTTGGTCAGTAAAGCTGTTCAACTCCTATGAAAATCATGAATCCCCTCACCGTGAGAAAATCTTCCAACAATAGTAAGAGTTTTTTGAAATTCGTTGAGTAAAAATGTAACTTACTAATTTCAACAATCAGATAAATAAATACTCAAAGGTTTTAGATTCACATAACAGATAATATTCGATTATAAAAAGGAAGAGCGAGTTTAACATGCAACTATTTACTAGCGTAAGAAAATAACCTTTTCTTTCGCCTGTTGCAACAATTCATTTTTGGCTTTTTCGACATCTTCTTTAGGACCACGTAAAACAACTATATCACTGTTTGATCCTCCAGGTGGAAATTTAATGTTAACTCCACCACACTCCTCCATTATGGATCGTATAAGACGACCTTTAGCACCGATAATTGCATTATGCAGTTTATGTGGAATGGTCAATTTCTCTTCAATGATGTTTTCCTGAAAATATGCAAACACAAATAATGGTACATTAAAGTTGTCGAAGAAGTAATAGAACAAATGTATGTTCTCGTGGCTGAGAAATGCAGTTTGGTGACTAAAATTTAAAACCAGACAATAAACGTCAGTCACTTACAAGGTCATTTTGAATAGCGAGTATTCTTCCGCGAGCCTCTTCGCATTGAGCTTTGTGTCCAGTAATTTTTATGATGTTACTATCACTTTCACCGTCAGGTAAGTCAATACGTGTTCCAGTCTCGTCACGAATCTTTGCAATAAAAAAACGAATAGGAAATGAACACGCAATAATTGGCGACGAAAAACACATTTGAAAACATTTCAACATCAGTATTAGTTACAAACAGTAAATTACACTCGCTACTACTGTGATATCTTACTTAGTTTCGCATCATAATTACGTACGATGTAAATACGAGTAATACATTGAAAAGCAAAGCAATACATGCCAGCAGTAATATTAAATATACCTTCTTGATGGTTGCACCACCGCGTCCAATGATATTTCGATGAAACTTCTTAAATATAGGCACTTCAATGTTGTAGTTTGATGCAACCAACTCCGAGTTCTGTTTCTTTAGTTGCGCGTACACTTTGTCCACCTGATCCTTAGGTCCCCGGATATTCACTACGTCACTCCTAATCGTAGCATCCGGGAACGAAATACGCACTTCCGGGTATTTTCTTCGTATATCTTGCATGCCATCACCTTTCGGACCGATGATGGAACGATGGTACTTGTTTTCAATGATGATGTCACGTGATCGTTCATTTTCCTAGAAAAAATTCATAGAAAAGTGTTCTAATATGGAATTGCGTTGAAGAAAGCTTTGGCCAACGTGATCATGAAAAGGGCGTGTGTACAAATTTTGTTCTATCAAGGACTATGGCAGTATAAATACATAAATGGTGCCTATCAACTATGGCTATGATAAAGAATTTCAAATTTTGCTCACCAATTTTTGCCATTTCCAAAATTTCAGCTTTTGCGTTTGCAACACCTTGAGGTGAACCTTCAATTCTGATCAAACTCTTCTTTTCACTGTCGTTGGGTATTATTATGGCTGTTTTGTCTCTTCCTTGATGCGATTAACTAGAATTAAAAAAATATAAGATTAAGTCAGACCACCTCATGGAAATATGAAGTAAAATGTTAAAAAATTTTACCATTTGCACCGTTTTTGCCAATTATATGAGAATGGAATTTGTAGTCAACTTCAACTTCAGCAAAATCCATGGTTGCTCTCTAAAAGATTTCAAAAGAAAGTCCGTCATTATAAGACGTTGCAAAGGTGATCGGTGTGTGGAACGGTCTAACCAATTCACGGGCAAACGTCTCCAACGCTTCTCTTGCTTTTTCCACCTGTTGTGGTGGTCCTTCCAACGAGATTTTGTCTTTGTCATCAACAAACTCAATGTGCAACTGTTGAAACCATATGAAAAACATTTAGAAAAAATGTAAATTATCGTGAAAAAATCGTGAGGTTGAACATCGACGAACCTTGTCTAAATCTTGAGTAATTTTCTTTATGTTTTCACCACTACGACCTATCATGAAACGATGTAGCCATCGAGGTGCTTCAACCTCTGCTACTGATACACTGTTAGCTTTCTCATACACTTGAGTCAAGGCCGTGCCAAGCTTGTCAGGTTCACCACGTAATGTTATTGTTTCAGCATCTGAGTCCAAAGGAGGCATTTCAACTGAAACACCTATGAAACACATATCAATTTCAAAGCTCTTGAATCATTTCATCACTAGATATAAGAGAAAAACTGTGAAAAATCAAAACCTGTAGCAGCAAGTATATCCTGCAAAACTTGTCCTTTTGCTCCAATAACATATTTATGTTGGGATTTCTTCACTTCAATAGAAACATGTGTCACACGGCGCTCCTGTAAACATATTTATTAAACTACCAATATAGCATAGTATGTCTTCTATAGTATTTCTATAAAACTGATTTTGGACACACTAAAAAAATCTTTTACTTTCCTATGGTAGTCACATAAGAGATGAGATATAAGATGAATTAGGGTCTGCTTGGGATTATACATACGTATAGTTAGGGATTTGCTATGACGACTATGACGCAACATCTCACAACACTTTTGTACACATTCATAATGTCCATCACAAATCCTAAACCCTCCTTTTGTGGTCATATGACAAATCTAGAAGCACATTCCAACTGTCCAACAGTAATAACTCAACATTCCTGCTAAGACATTAAGTTGCTTTGTAGGCATCTTTCTACCTTTTCTTTATAAATTTTTAGTATCTTTTCTTTGGCCAAAGCAACTCCTTCCTTGTCACCAGAAATAGTAATCTCATCCTTTTGTACTGAAGTAGGAGGAATATTGATTTTTGTAGCAGTATCTGCAGCAATTTTCTTGACTGTCTCCTGATTAGCTCCTTGTATAAACGGATGGAAAATTCTAGGAATCTCCAAACGTTCAAAGCCTTCCTTTGCCTGCAAAAACACAAAGATAAAATGAAATAATTTGGATCTTTTCATGATGATTATGGATGGTTATATGATGATTTACAATAAAAAAACTTTAAACTACAAAACCACCAGAAATAAATTCAAAAAATTTACATGAGAACATCCTTTGTAAGAAAACAAAATAAAACAAAACAAAGGCTTGTCGTTTTTGAAAAATTATAACATGAAACCTACTCACTTTTCTATCGGATATAGATTGAATTTCGTGACAAGCTCGTTCCACATCTTCTTTGATGCCAGTGATAATCACAACATCATCATTCCTTGGGATGTTGATTTTTGTACCAGTTTCTGACTCAAGTTGTTTGAGAATGTTGCCACCTTTACCAAGTATAAATTTGTGATGCTCGTTGGGAATTGGTATTTCACATTTCACCTAGAAATGTTCAAAAGACATCACATTACTTTATAGAACAACATAAAAATTTCAAGAATGGGATTTTTGAAGCAAAGCAGTTCCTAAACCTGAGTTTGTAATTTTTTCAAAATTTCTCGCTTTGCCATAATAACTTGTGTAGGTTTGCCTGTTGCAAGGATGTTTAAACTTTTGTCCTTGGCATTGCTCATTTCAATAGATGCTCCAGTCTTGGCCGACACATCGCGGCACATACTCTGACGCATATCTCCAAAATCACCAAACAATTTGGAATTGACATCTTCAATGGGTATTCGAAAAACCTATGAAAGTATTTGATAAAAATCTGAAGCTCTGAGCCAAATCAAATTTAGCCTAATTTTATCAAGATTTATCTCAAGACTAAATTAATTCTGAGGTCATTTGCCTTAAGAATTATGGATCTACATCATTTTCTTTCATTAAAATAAAGATTCTGACAGAATAACCAAAGCATTCACTGGGAAATCATACATCCCTAATTCAAAGATCAAAGAATGTTATTTAAATTAATGATATTTTAATACATAGCATTTCTGACCTTGGTAGAATAATCGTCTGTTAAATGAATAATCGACACAATAAATAACAAATCATGTACTATCAAAGCGCTTTCATTACAAATTATATATTCCTGGTAAAGTTTGTAACCTGTTTATTGCCACCGAGCAAGCAGTTAAGAATTACACAAGCGACCTTTAGAACAACAAAATCGATAAAACCAATACCAATGTGCAATGACGTTAAAATAAATGTTGGAACTAACGTTACAAAGTATAGAGCTAATTAAAACATTTCAATATATATATGTACACCTGTGGAATGTGAAAACAAGTCAAGCGTTTTATATACGTACCCTTTCATACAAACAAGAAAGAAAACTTGAAGACGCTTCGATGTAGGAAAATTTTACGTAACAGGAAATACGAAATTTCAAAAAGAACCTTGGCCTTGCGCGGCTTCAAAAACAATTACAGTAGGCACCAAAAATAAAAGACCTTTGTTTCATACAATTTTCGAATGATAACAATTAGGTAGTCACAACAGCAATCCAGTATACAACAAATTCGGAGTTAAGTTCAATTTTCCAGGTATGTAAGCAGACCAAAAACGACCTTATTTTCGTATTTGAGACATAAATTTTTCAAAAATCAATGCACTCTTTGTGAAAGGTTTATATTTCTCTCGTCATTAAATTACTATAGAAGTGCCACGTGAGCAAAATGCAGAAAAGTCGCAAATTTCTTCATAAAGAACTCGATGATATCACAATATTTCACAACGAACCATCACCAAGTCATATTGTAAGCTTGAAACGATACAAAAAGAAAGCCGGCCATTAAAAGCACAAAAGCGACACATCTTACAAGTTAATAATACAATAAACCAAGTTTCGGTCAAAACCTCAGCAGCTTAAGTAAATAGCGATGAATTTAAAGGCAACCATTTACTTCGTTTACGGATTTAGACACCTCTTAAAAACATGAGCAAATTGTAGTAAAGCTAAATTGGATATTTTTAAGAAGGCATACCTGTGTAATGGTTGTAGATCGAATTGCTTGCGTGGAACCAGCATAGCTTGTTGCTTTCGCTGGGCCAGGTTTTCTGATGATTGGGGCTTTCGAAACGGGCAATTGTGGAAATGCTTCATCGTACGTTGGTGTGTATCCTTCGTGCTCCAAGTCATTACCGTTTTCATGGGGAAATTCGGCAGTGTCCGTACTACCGTTTGATAAACCAATGCCGTTCATATTTTTAAACTCGTCCGGTTGGATATTCATAATTCTTCAAGTCCGTTTCCAGGCTAAGATCTACAGTGTCACTGTAAATGAAAACGATAAATTTTTAACGTTAAACTTTGGCAATTCACTAGCATGTCACATCATAAACAAGAACGATAAAATTTATATCGCCTAGCACAGCTCGAACTGTTATCAAAGCCTTGAAGATGATGAAGTACAAGAGTGCAATCTGCAAACCTGACACAAGTGTCGATGACAGCTGTTCCAGAATGGCCAACTACCGTCAATAACTTATAGAAACGTATCCAGATCGACGTGAGAAGCCGGTTAAATATTGTTCCTATCCGACTTCGATTCAAGGCTCCATAACTCTTGCTTCGAATGTGCTAATTTTGTGTGACGTAAAGAGAATAAGTATATGCCCAGGTTAACCGCGCGTGTAGCCAATCAGATGCCGATAAGCCCGAGGGGAAAGGTTTTAACTAAAAATAGGTACGTTCGCGAACAAGCAGCTGATGAAAGGATGATTAAAATTTGCAAAAATATGTTAAAATAAAAAGAATAACTAAATCAAAAATACATTCTTATTAATATTTGAAAGAAAAACAATCAAACCATTTATGAACGATAAATCAATAATACTAAAATAGTTATATCAATCTGGAAAGCCATGTCCTGACATCCATTTTACAGTTCACTCAATGCTTTGGTATACACAGAAAACATCTCAGTTCTAGTCAGCAATATCGAGGTTTTAATTCATACCATCAATTCTAACAACTTTAATAGTTGCATCAGGTGACTTTCCACAAAATTCATAACATTTTAATTTAAATTTTTAAAATAGTTTCCTTATTTTACACAAAGATTTCAAAAAGCAAAAAATCAGAGGATAAGCGTTCTTAATTATAAGTCATATAACGAGGAGTTGCACTAAATTTCGCGTATGCCTTGATGACTTTGTTAACAGCTTCGAGGAAATCTTTTTCGCCAGCAACCTGTCGAAACAAATGCACAAGTATATAACAAGAACACCCACATTATATGAAGATATGATCTTCGCACTTTTGCTGGACAATTTAAGCAATTGTCTCATGAACCTGAAAAATTCAGGTGACTCAACGGGACTCAAGAACACCCACAGATACATGAAGTACTATGACAGTAAAAACATAATGTCTAATGCAATGAATGGGAAAAATAATGAATAATATTAAAGTAAAATGTAGACAAAAAGTACTTTACACTGAAGAAAAATGTCTTTTCTATAAGCTGTTCTTCAATTCTTATATATAAAAATACGTACACAACGGAATTATGCGGGAAGCGAGAAAAAATAAAAACATGGCGGGAAACAAAATTTCACGAAAGACAATTGTAAACAATATTACACAAGAGTATATTTGGGACAGAGTATTGAAATACAACAGTTTTATTATACAATAAAGATATCAAAGAACAAAAGCGAACCTTTCTCCTAGCACGAATAGCAAACATTCCAGCTTCAGTACATACACTTCGGATTTCAGCACCTAAAAAAATATATTTAATTGTTCATCTTTGAAAAATACCTTCAAGGTTAAGCAAAAGAGTATGTTGAAAATTACTGCAGTTATGGAAAACAAAAAGACAATATTCCTAGCTACTATTCCTAGTCTCACAATGAAACAATCCAGGCGTCATAAAAGCCAACATTAAAAAGCTACAAAGATTGGTGAAAAAATCATAGGAATGATCTATTTCTCATATTATGAAATGGTACCACATGATACCACATGATAGCATGTGATACCATGTGATATAATACAGGTAAATTCTACATGTTAACAAACCTGTGCTGTTAGGGCAAAGTCTTGCAAGCAGCTCAAAACGTATGTCGCGTTCTACACTCATGGATCTTGCGTGAATTTTAAAGATACTTGCGCGGCCTTCCAAATCTGGAAGACTGAACTCAACTCGACGATCGAGACGACCAGGCCTCATCAGAGCCGGATCAAGGGTATCAGGTCTACGGATGGCAGAAATAACGAAAACACAAATTTATTTTATTTTTCTAAAATCAACATTCACTGTTAAAACTATTTTCATAAGTAAGATTCGCTTTAAAGATAACTCCATATCTATACATATTGAATCCAACCTCTTCGTTTTGATTACCTGTTTGTAGCCATTAATACTTTGATATTTCCTCTTGGATCAAATCCATCCAGTTGATTAATAAGTTCTAACATAGTTCTTTGAACTTCGTTATCCCCACCAGCACCATCGTCAAATCTAGCCCCTGGAAAAAATCACAGATGTTATGTTTAAGAATTCTTTTGAAACCTAAATCAAGGCTTTTGCGTTAGTTCCATTGACACGAGAAGATATCACACGGCTTAAATTTGATGTACCATGGTCAGTCTACTTGTTTTCACCGGGAACCCTCCCGTAAGCAACTAAGGTTTGTAACCCCCACCCCCCTGGTCAGGTAATCCCATACCAACACATACCTCCAATGGCATCAATTTCGTCAAAAAATATTATACAAGCTTTCTTAGTTCGCGCCATTTCAAACAGTTCTCTAACCATTCTTGCTCCCTAAATATAATATTTTGAAAATAACTCACATGATAATAACTCATGGTAGAAAACTGAAGGAAAATGTAGCTGCGTGAACTTAATAAAATTAAAACTCAAAACCATAACAACAAATAGTTATTTAAAAAACTTTAAAACACCATATGTTATACAAACATTCCTTTCCTACCTCACCAACATACTTCTGAACAAGTTCAGAACCAATGACTCGGATAAAACAAGCATCAGTTCTGTTGGCAACAGCGCGTGCACAGAGAGTTTTACCAGTGCCAGGTGGTCCAAACAGCAGCACACCCTTAGGGGGCTCAATGCCAAGGTTTACAAATCGCTCTGGCTAAATGTTTACATGAAACATGAAATTACACTCATTGTAAAAATCTATGATCAAATCATGCTTGAACTTAACAATCAAACTGTCAAAACTTACATGTAACATAGGTGTTTCAACAACTTCTCGTAATTTCTCAATCTGTTCCTTGCATCCACCAACATCAGAATATGTCACATCGGGTTTTTCTTCAACCTAGATTATGGTACCAAGCACATAGTTAAAATATAGTTCTTGAAGAACTCAATTCGACAATACCAAGTGCTATAAAGAAATCACATTACATATGTAAACCATAGGGAAATAAAATGAAAAACATCTTACCTGCATCATTGTGACAGTGGGATCTATTTTTGGTGGAAGAGGAATATGAATTTGATATTTGTTACGATCAACTCTAAATGTTCGACATTTATCATTTAAGCATTCACCTTCTTGTCAATAAACTCGTCAATATATCGAAATATATCGAAAAGTATGAGGAATCAATTTCTTGACATAAATTATCAAAGACATCTGATAGACCAACTTCTTACACAAAATATTTTCTTCACATAAACCTAGCTTTCTATGGTAGTTATATATCATTTGCTTATAACATGTAACCATGGAAATATAAATTGATCTGTTGATTTTTCTCACTAAATCTAAACAGATAATTTGGTCAACAAAAAAGTATCAAATGACAAAACTTCTCACCCAACACGCATTCCTTCTTCAATATCTGTCGGGGCAACTTGATCTCCTAAATCAACAACAAACTTAGCAAATTGCTTGACATTGATAATGTATTTTGCATCATCTGTGTCTGCATTTATGATCTTTGTACACCTAGCAACCTAAATAAGAAAAGCAAAAATAAAAATTATTAAATCATGGATGACAAATATATGCAAGAAACTTTACTGTATGAGATGAAAACACATGTACTGCTTTTCCTTTTCCATAAGATCATGATTGATAAAACAATTGAAAATTTTCATACTTGAAGTGGTTGTTCACTGTGCAAAGCCTGTTTATCTGCTGCTAAATCCCATAGAGCTGGAGGAGCTAAGCCGGTGTCAGATTCTTTAATACCTTTAAATAGTGAGAAAAAATGAAGCAGAGAGTTTAATAACTTGATGAATTAGTTAGCGATGGTATATTGATGTACCTGTCAACTCATTGACTTTTTTCAACGAGTTTTTGATATCTTCTTCAACTTTTTTAATAGCTTTGCTGTATGATCCAGCTCCCTATATTAATGGAATTGAATTTGTACGAGGAAACCTGCCTTGTCATATACCAAGTACATTATATCATGGAAAAAATGAGCACAATTATTCAATGGTGGTTTATCTTAATCAACAAGTTAGTAATTAAATAATCACAGTTAATCAAACAGTAAAATCTGTGTATGTTTACAAAACATGGTATTTTTATGATTGCAAGAGATAACAACATACTTTTCAATGGTAAACATTTCCCAAAGGATGCTAGAAGTTACCATGGAAAGATTATTTAAATATTTGAAATCTTGCATATAGGTTGCCAGACTAGAAAGTTTGTATTGTGCACCCGAGAACTTTCCAGTCTGGGTTAGTTGTAGACTTGTAGCAAAAATTTTCTTTGTAGAAAAGCATAGGAGCGTTTATGAGAACAATATGTAGATTACAAAGAGTGAAAACTTACATATGTTTTTAACAATTGTATATCACCTTCATCAAGAGCTAAATAAAAAACATACACCTTCAATAATGGGAATAAAACTAAATAAATCTGAAACATCCCTTGATTTGTTGAACATTCACAATGCTGAAGCGGCCTCCCTCCTTTGGTGTTGTGACTGTAGGGCTTTGGTTAATTGTTTACACATAGGGCCATTAGTTACAATTGTCATTTGGAGAAACATGTATACCGGGGGGTAGAGAATGAAGTTATTGGTTTCAACTTTCAACCAGTAACAACAAACATAATGAAAATTTATTGACTATCTCAAAAAAAATTTTTACCTTGAAACGGTTTTTCCTCTTTATCTTCATTTCCTTTTACCTTTCTTTGATCTTTTCCTAAATAATCGGGCATGATCGTCTGAAAAATTGAATGTTTACCACAAGAAATTCAGTGATTACTTTTTGTTGTATGAAAAATATTATAATTATAGTGCCAGTCTCCTCGCGGTTAGCACAACCCTAGAGGTGCCTCGTTTTCGCGGAGCCCGAAAAGTCAGGCAGTGAATATCAAATTGCACGTGCAGGCTACGCCACCGCCCTCTGCAAGGCTAAAGAAAAGCTTATAATCAGTCTAACAACGTTTCTTCTTTTACCGGCTATACTCAGAGGATTGGTGTTTTATATACGGGAAAAGTGGTTAGTATTTATGTTAATGTTATGTACAAGGGCTGAGAGAGTTTTGATTTGGCGTGAAGTTAAGATTGGTTGTTTCAAAGCGCCTTCAAAAGGAGGCGTTTATAATCAATTCTGTTTACATCGTTTCTTTTGGGATGAGTCTGCTCAGAACTCTCTTTTTTAGTCAGAGCTCCACTGCGATTGTTCTTTATAATGATTTATAATAAACAGTAAGAAGCAATTTCTTTGGTAATGTTTATGATAGAAGATCTAGAAGTACATAATATTTGATAATTTGTGTAGTTATTTCTTGTTATAAAAACTTCGATCTGTGTCATATGGAATTCAGAAATTCGCATTAACCACAGGTATAAATAAATTATTTTTAAGTCGCCTTGCTGGAACAACATTCTTGCTCAACATTCAAAGTATACATTGCGAGTGTACAAAAATCATTTGCCGCTTTTAAATCAACGAAGTTTCTTGTTTATACATTATTTGAATAATAATACATTCAGGTATAATTTGTTGTGTCAATTGTACCTTGAGATCGGTTGAACATTAAAAAATACAGATGTGCTTATATTGGGATTTAATTTTTGAAAGATTCTACGATGAATTCAGTAGAATGAGTCCGAATTTTCTTTTCTTTTTTTCAGCGGAAACTTTGGTCAGACTATTAAGGTATATTACCGGATGTGTGTTTGATGTCTTCCACGTAGAAATACCTGTTTTTGCATGAAATATATCGACGCTTTTATCATTAAATATAAATGGTTTTGTTAAACATAGCAGACGAAACGTCACTTCATTAACTGTCATGTCACGTTTGTTTATATGTTCGGAATGTCTTAGGATTATTTCTTATAATTATTCATATTACCCCCCAGAAATTTCAAACATATGAATGTGCATGTGCTTTTCGAAAAATAGGTTTTTTCTTATGATCGAAGAAGGTTTGAAATAGTTTTAAGTAACAATAAATCTTTTATGACTAGTAAATTTACAACTCAACAGGTTCTTTGGTAAGATGTATTGTGACATGTTCTAATATTTAAGAAAGAAGAGCAATATTTATCTATATTTCATAATGTGTTACTTTTCGAGCCTATATTAAGTATTTGAGGGAAATGCTTCACTAATAATGTAACTTTCTGTAAAAATATAGACCTAAATGTCCTCTTGTCATTTTCAGATTGTTTGTTGAGCATCAAATAATTCAAATAAAAATGCAAACTATAAAATGTGTGGTTGTTGGTGATGGAGCTGTTGGTAAAACATGTCTCCTGATTTCATATACGACAAACAAATTTCCTAGTGAATATGTACCAACGGTAAGTTGAAATACATTACTGGAAAATCAATTTTTACCCTGGACATATTTACTGCTACTCATTTACTAATCTGAAAATTGGTATTATTTAATATTGATGTCCACTAAAACATTTTTTCAACCATAGGTATTTGATAACTATGCTGTAACGGTAATGATTGGTGGTGAACCATACACTCTAGGTCTCTTTGACACCGCAGGTATTTCTCATGGTCAACTTACCTTTAATGTTACAATTATATTATTAGAATGACTAATGGTGATTTGTTGTCTATAGTTAAAAGAGGTATTTATTTACTTGCATTAAACACTGTCATTTTATTTATAGGTCAAGAAGATTATGATAGACTTAGACCATTATCATATCCACAAACTGATGTTTTTCTTGTATGTTTTTCTGTTGTATCCCCTGCTTCCTTTGAAAATGTTAAAGAAAAGGTAAAAAAGTTTTTATTATTTTATAGACCTAACACCTCATGCTTTAATTTGTATTTTTATCTTTCAGTGGGTGCCAGAAATAACTCATCATTGTCCAAAAACGCCGTTTCTTCTGGTGGGAACGCAAGTGGATTTGCGTGACGACGCAACGACGATAGAAAAACTCGCGAAAAACCGACAGAAGCCTATCACCGTTGAGCAGGCAGAGAAACTTGCAAGGGAACTTCGCGCCGTCAAATATGTTGAATGTTCCGCATTAACTCAAAAAGGATTGAAAAATGTGTTCGACGAGGCGATATTAGCCGCTTTAGAACCGCCTGAACAACCCAAAAAGAAGAAATGCATTTTGTTGTAGAAAGATTTCAATGTAGTTGTATGGCTTGTATTGAAAAACTTCGGCGACACAGCATGCGTGTATGAGAAAAACATGTATATGACGATTGACTGCAGTCTTAATTTAAGAACTATATGCGTTTATTTTATAATTGTGATTTTGTATATTAGTGGACAATATTGAGAGGCGCTTTCCTTGATTATTGCAATATTGCTGTTAACAATAATGCAAGACAATGCTTTCATTGAAAGCAGTTGTTAGATGTCAATTTTTTTTAACAAAGTTGATGAATCTTGGTGAATGCCGGAAAATTATTAATTGATATGTTTATAATTTTTGAGTGATAATCTGTAGAGAGAGATCTACATTCAATTACGTAAAAAATAACTGTTGATTTCTTTGACTCTGAAATTTTTAAATATTTTTCTCGCGTTATTTACTGCACAATTATAATTTAAAGGCATCGCACGATTTGCTGTACTCAAAATAAATTTATGACATCATTACTTTTGGTGGTTATTAAAATGGATACAAGGGTGAACATAGCATAATAATCATAGTACATTCATGCAAGCAACTCTGCCTAACTAAAAGTAAAGAGCTGGCTATTAAAAATTCTCGGTTTTACGAAATCATGCTTTCATTTTTTTATTTACAATGCCACTTGTCATGAAGAGGTCAAACGCATTAAGATACTGACTTTCGGAGCGTAAATGTGTGTTGTTTTAGCCAAGTCAATATCATTTCTAAGTCACTAAACAAATACCTTTGCATGAAATGTCATAGCCGACCATAACCTTGTTTCTTGGAAATCTTTCTTTCCGATTCATCGAACGTTTTCAACGCAACTCTCTGGTCCCACTTAGAATTCTACAACGCATGACGTGTTTCTTGTTCGTAGAAATCTCCGAGCTACACGAACACTTTACGGCGTGATTTTCACTGACACTATAACAAGACGATCTTGTTTTCTCATTTTTCGCCTTCGTTGAAAATCAACTGAAACTTTCCAAGATTTTCAACGCTCGTAATTTTCTTATTTCGTCGACTTTTTTCAAATACTTCAATGACTAACTCTATAGGAGGGAAGAAACAGGTGATAATATATTTCTATTTATTCACATTAAATGTATTCCATCTTGACGACAAACACTTAGCTAATTAGACTTTAAAAGTATTTTCTTTAATAACGAAGTTAAAATCAGATATGGCTCTTCGACTGGGTAAAGATACTTTAGATTAAAACAGAGGTTAACAGATGAACTTCCTAGTAATTATTTTACTGTAATGGAATGTGCCGAAAAATGAAAATATAATTTATCTTATCCATGCATTAACAAATCCCATTTTCACATCGTTTCATTTCCAAAAATGTCACCGTATTGCAAGTAGATAAATTTACATGTACTGAAGAAAACCTTTGTGTTTTTGATGAAACGAGGAAAAAGGTCGACTTCCATGAAATGTTAAAACAATAACAAACACAAATTGGAGACTTACTCAATGTGTCTTCAACCAGCTCCGGAATGAAACTTGACAAAATCTTACAGTTCGTATGCAACGCAGGATTTACGTTTACTTCAATCAACCAAACCTTAACGAATAAAAATAAATTTTCATTATTAGCTTTTCAATCTAAACTGAGATACTACAACAAGACAACTTACATTCAGATTTTCGTCCATCATAAAGTCAAAGCCTAATAAATCAAAATATCCCAATCGACTTTGCAATTTGAAACGAACGCTTTGGAAACAATACAACATAATATCTTTCATCCGTTTCTACAAAATACATGTAAATCTTGTAAATAAAATAAATCATAAAATGCTATATGTCATGATCAACTGTGATTGGTTCATTCTTTGCAACCATACCGTAAGTGCAGTAGCCACCCAATCAGGAGGAACGGGGATATTATTTCGGCTCATGTATTCCTGAAGTTGTTGCAAACTCCAAATAGTTTCTTCTTTCACTTGTGCATATAATGGATGTTTCTTTTGAATGTACTGAACAATAGAAAATTAAACATCGAGAAACATTATAGAAAGATGAAAACAACCTAAGTGCGCAATTCTCAAAATGCTTTCAAATTAATGAAAAAAAAACAAAGCTCAATGAGATAGAGACATGGGTGAAATAGCAAAATAGTACGCAAAATTTACAGAAAAAAAACATTTAACTTCAAAAAAGCTTGTTACTTTGGCAGTATATTTCTGCTTTTTACTATAAAAATCTTTCATAAATTTCAACAATGGCTCAGAATACTGGTTCTTTATCTCTTCCAAAGTTAGCCTTACAATACAGGAAGTTAAACAACAAATAAGCTTGACTAATAACTAAAATTTTGTGCTTCAGTTTCATGTTAATCCCACATGTTTTTCTCACCTGGTTTGTCAAATGAGCGTGGATTTCTTCTTCATTCAGGCTATATGGAACCAATGATAATCTTACATAACCTGGATAGTAAAAGACCATATATGGACACGTGCCCGCGATCAACATGTACACACGAATGTCAGCCTTGAAACCGTTCAACAAGAAAGGATTGACGATATACCTGAATAAAAATTGCAAATCAAAATTATGGATGCATCTTCTCAATGTGCAACAACAATCCATTATGAAACTTTACAAAACTCAACAATAGTCACCTTTGAATGACTCTACCAGCAGTTGGCAAAAATCTTTGACGAGAATTATTGACTGTTTTGCATTGAAGTTTTTCAATTAATTCCTCACGAGTTCTAACGAGAAATATTCCCTTTCCTTGATTCATTCCAGCTGGTTTACAAATCCACATTTCGCCATCTACACAAGAGACGTTCATTACTATTTCAGTTGGTTCTGTAGATAAATAAACAATTCATTTCCCAAGAAGTGAACCATTTTAAAAGTCCTTTTCCATCAATCAATACCAACCTCTCCAGGCTTCATTTTACCTGTTATTAGTTAAGATTCATACCTTTGTATATATTGAGAATGAAATTCTCAATCTCCGTTTGATTTTGAAGTTTAAATGTTTCCGGAACAAAATCCTTCATCACCAAATGAGATCCAATATGGCCTGGAGGTATTTTCCCGTTCAGTCTTTCAAAGTCTTGTAAACTCATCAGCAATCCAGTTTTTGTAGTAAGTAGACTACCATTTGGAATATGATTGACCATTTGCTCTCCGTCGCGAAAACGAGTAAAATCGATGTGTTTTTTGCACTCAACCCATTTCATATAAAATGTTGTATCTCTGTTATCGTAAATTCTCGTCCAACCAAACGAAGATAAAGTAGCATCGACTCTGAAACACAACAGTCATTAACGAGATTAAAGACAAAGAAATGAACAACGACTACAGCATAACGTCTCTAAATTTCAAATTTCATTCAATGTAGCTAATTGTGATCACAAAAGCATTAAGATGTAATAAGCAAAAGCCCAAAAAAATAAATTAAAACGTCAAATTTTATTGATGCAAGTTAAGTAAGCTGTAAATGGTGCTTACATTTTTGATCCATTTTGTCCACCAATGAAAAATGTCTTTGACTTTTCATGAACTCTGATGCGTGATTTACTTGGTGTGCAAAATGGTTTTGATGTTTGATTTGCATTTTCTCCTTTGTGGTCAGGATTATAATTTCGTGTAGAGTCGTCTAGATTAGGTAAAATGTAAAAAAAATTAATCTCAAGAAAAGATGAAAAAACGATGACAAAAGTAGTAGAGTCGGATTGATAAAATGCATACATAGAAAAAAAAAACAACCTTTTCTTTTTTTGCTCTCCGTTGCAACTACGAGTTTACGAGAATTACGCGTAACGTTTCTTTGAGGATTTGGACAAGAAAGAGAAAAACACAAGCCATCTTTAATGGTATTGGTCTCGTTTTCACCCACGACAATGTTCAATGTCTGATGGTTTAATACATTGCCTTTCCAAGAAATCGTTGTCTTGAGGGTATATTTCTACGATTTCGTCGCTTCTGTAATCTATCATCATTTCATACGAATCATTCCAGATGACAGCAGTGCATTGCTCACAGAAGCAATCGTTTACTAACCAAGAGTTGCAGTCTTTGGCATTGTGAAGAGCCGGACTTGTGAAATCAAGATTCCCGCTTCTTGATAAATGAATGTTTTCTTGTTGAGCATAAGCAGGCCTGCATTTTATATGTTCACTTTTAGAACAATGTAAATTTGTTTTGAGAAACTCAAAATTTAACTCTGATATTTGGGATGACCAATTGCTAACATCGCTGAATGTCAGTTTTTCTTCAAATATCCCAAGATGCTTCTGATCTTTTTGAAAACTTTCCTTATCACGTGTATCGATGTTCAACAGGGTTACATCATCAGACAAACTGCGTGGATCGTTGTTCGTTGCAAAGATCTCGTCTGCCAGCATATTTTCGTCTTCAAGACTAAAAAAGATCGAATTCCGTGGAACAACAGCTGGAATCTTCCATGGATGTTGAGGGCAAAAGCTGCAGAATTTAGATAAAAAAAGGTGTAAACACACAAAGTGCCTTTTTTCTTTATTTTAAAAGCAAATCGTGTTTTTATTTCACGTTAGCAGTAGAGAAAATGACAACGACACATAAGTTTTTGTTTACCTTTTACAAACTCCTTGCAGCCAAGTATCAATGGATTTAAAATGATACACCATGTTATAGTACGTTTTTGATGTGTATTCATATGAATCATGTAGTTCTACTCTACAAAAAAAAACACCAAAAAAATAAATAGTTATAGCAACTAGTCCTATGCCCAAAAACATGTCTTCCACCTCGCTGTAGCTTGTAAAAGCATGTCAATACATACTTTCCTGTTTTCCACCTGGCTCCAATAGTCTTTTTCCCACTGCCTGCCCATATTTCTACATGAACAATATCGTGCTTCTGTTTCTTTTCTAAACGGTGTAGTGAAAATGCGCAGATGAACAAGAAAATATTCGGAAATCGATTGATTCTAATTTTCAAAATAATTGGTAATCAGCCGATTTCCTTTGCTTAATTGGTTTGATAAGCAAATTTTGGCATTGTTTGCCAAGTTAATGTACGTAGGAAGCGGCACATTATGCATTATGCTATCGCCCATATGAGACCGAAATATTAGCATAACGAAAGCAAAAAGTCCCCGCTAGTGTATAAGAGTTTGTGCAGTAGGTGTATCTCTTTAAATAAAATGAAAATAGGATCACTAGTGAAAAATAGATTACTTCTTGAGTCGTAGAAAATGCCAGAAACAAAAACCAAATCTCCTGGCTTCATAGCGTTCACATTTCGTACGACATTGGGCAACGTATCAAACTATGTGAGAAAAAGTCGGATGAAAAGTTTTTAATGAAGAATAGTGATAAATTAGAGATGGATGAGAAATTTCAGAGCCATACCATGTAAGCTTGATTCCATGGACCAATTGTGAAACCAAAATCATCCTTCAAGTCATTCACAACTTTACGAACTAGACCACAGCAATCAAGAAATAGAGGAGCTTCATACTCAAGAGCTGGTCAATAAATTAAAAACATAATCAACTTGATTTTCATTCAGTAAAGGCAGTTGATTAAAATGTTTACGTTCATACTGCCTGGTTTATGGTATCGCTTGGCGTAAGGAACTCCAAAATAACACGATGCTTGTTGCACAAACTTTGCTCGTAAAACATCTGTTTCTTCCCGGCTTCTGTGCTCTTTTGGAATGTCACAGTTTATGGAAGACAGACTTTGTAACTTATTCTAAATATTCAAGAGAAAAAAACAGCCTGTGACTTGTATCGTACCTTGGTGACAAGTATATCCCATTGTAAAACAAAAAATGAAAACAGACCTGTCTTTTCTTCTTGAACTTCAAAAAAGCACTTTGCAGTGTATCAGTGGCTTCATCGGGCTTCGTTGTTGAATGAAAGTCCGGTGTGAAAAACGATGGTTTAGAATGTGTATGTACACATGATTCTTCCACTATCTTCTGATCTTCATATGCAGCAAGATCTTCGAGAACAACCATATTTGTTTACTTCCTCTAATCAAACAATAATCTTTAACTCAGTCATAATCAATCTGATGCTTTGTCTAGATGTTTTTAGGAAGCATTACCTTCCTCGTTTCCAATAACAACGAACCAAAGTCGAATTGTTTTCAAGATTTGAAAGCCTCAGTAAGTCGTCAAAACAATTTTCGAGAAAATAATTCAAAGGGAAAATCATAAATACTATTACTGGTGATTTTATTTCACTAAAAATTCTTAATTTTCCAAAAAAATTGTGAGAATTTCTTTGATATTCGTTGTGTTGAATTATTATATATTTTATATTTTAAACGCCCGCGTACACGTAAGGTGTACACACAGCGGTATCTAGTGCATTCTGATTGGTCCACTATGATGGTGTTTAAATTTAAATTTGACATTTCAACGTAGTATTTATTTGAATTCTTTCCGTTGCTTCTGTTTACACGATAAGACTTTTTTGTGTTATTTTATATCATCAAAGTCGTCAAATAAACGCACTAAATTTTAAAATTGATCGACATGGGATTAAGTGAAAGCAAAGAGGCGTTTGAGAAAGATGAAATTCAACAAACTCCAAAAGTTAACAAAGAGATTGGTATATCTTCAATGTGGGACCCACGTTCACCCAGCTCTCTCTTTGAAAGAACGCCAATAAAAAAGAAACAGGAAAACTATATTGGTTGTGTAGAAAGCGATCCAAGGTCTCCGACATACGATGTACCACGCACACCAATCAATACTGAAGATGGCCACATCACAGAAAAGAATAGAAATGTTTACAGTCAATTGCGAATGCAATTGGAAAAGTTGCAAATTCATGATGGTGGTCTTCACAACATAACTGCAAGCACAGAGAATCTTCATTCTGATAATGAGGTATATTAAGAAATTATTGAACAAAATGTTGATATTCATAAAACCTTCGTTTATGGCTGACAGGTTATATTATCAATTCAATTGATTTGTTTACCCAAATATAGAGCATCAATGTCATTTCTCAGCAGAACACAGTGTTGGAATTCCTTTCAAAAGATTTTGAATCACAGGACAATACAGCACCCTGTCATGAAGCTGCATCACCCTTCTGCAAGTTTCAAAGTACTCCAAAGCAGTTGACTCCTCTGTCACCAAATACACCAATGTCATTGGATGAAACTGATAGACTTGTCAAGAAAGGAAAGTCTCAATCAAAGAAGCAACATGACCATCAAGATAAGCTACAAAAGAAAGTGTTGAAGAAATCGATAGCTAGCAATCAAGTGGCACGTATGCCTCTGTCTCAACGCAAAAACTTTGTTGTGACCACAGACAACCATTCAAAGCCATCTTATGGTGACAAATTGAGATCTAAAGCTTTTGTAAAATACCGACAATACAATAACCTGGAGGATTCCTTCAATGACAGTTTAACTGGTAAAGAGAATGAAAATATTGTCTGGTAGGACTGTGAAGGAGTCATCATGTGACAATAACCAACAAAACCTTGCATTAAAGTAAAACAAAAATAGTCTGTAGGGAAACAATGAATATTTTAAAGTTCACTAATTATTCATATAAATTAGTATAAAAATTGGCAATGTAACATAAATTATATCTTTTGGGAAATTTGTTGTACTGTATAAAAATATATAATGATCTTTATGCTTAATGTGTTTTCATCACAGTAACATGACGTAAAGTTAGGGAAAGAGTTTGCCAAGCACACTGGCCAAGCATGTTGTCAAACGCAGGCTCATTTATGATCCTAATAAAGTTAATAAATTAAACCAACACATTTATCCGAATAACCAACGTTTTTTGAAGGTTACTCCAAGGAAAAATAAATACAACATGGCTAGAAACATATTAAAAAGGAGCTGTTGTATCATAAATACCCCAATTAGACAAAATTTTTATTTTAGTACAAAATTCCTGCCTAAGGATATGAAAGCATGGCTTCTGCACAAATTTGATAAGGAGGTGCAGATACATATGCCAAAACTCGAACAAATTAAGTTACCAACATCTTTGGGTACCAACGAGATCTTGGTACAAGTTAAAGCAGCTTCGTTGAATCCTATTGATGTAAAAATGACTCAAGGATTTGGTTCTGTGTTGTTTAAAGGCTTAAGAAAACTTAATAGGTCCACTTTGCCTGAGTTTCCTGTGATCCTTGGGCGAGATTTCTCTGGTATTGTGGTGAAGACAGGCTCTCATGTGACTAGACTGAAAGAGGGAGATGAGGTTGGTATAAAGCATTTGGTTAACATTCCAGAGACACAGGACAGTGACTTAACATCATTGTTCAGGTTTGGGGGACCCCTGCAGTGTGGAAACAAGGTTCATTTGCTGAGTATTGTCTTGTTGGTCAAGATGAGGTATGATAAATTTTCTTCTCAATCAATATCACTGAAGGCACACAATTAGAAATAAATTTCAGATTGCTCTCAAGCCCAAATCTTTGAGCTATGTTGAAGCTGTTTCATTTCCGTATGTTTATCTAACAATGTGGGCAGCATTATGTAATGTTTGTGGATTAAAACAGGAGAATGCTAAAGGAAAACGGTATGATGGATTATAGAATTAAAAATTGTTTGTGTTAAAAAAATCAAAAAATTTCCATCTTTCACAGAATATTTATAGTTGGAGGAAGTGGTGGTGTTGGGAATATTGGAATTCAGGTATGGAAAAAATAAATTATATTTGTAAGCTTTTACATTGGGGATAGTTTTGATCATTTATGTGTATAGATGATGAAGGAATGGGGTGCACATGTGACAACCTCATGTAGCACAGATGCCATTGATTTGGTAAAAAAGCTTGGCGCCGATGATGTCATTGATTATAAAACAGAAGATCTTGTGAAAAGATTAAAAAATGAGCCAAGGTGAAGGAATTTTTATCTTGTTCAAATGTTTAACATTCATAGATCTTGTCATTACAAACAACTCTTATCCTGATCCATACTGAGCCATCTTAACTTACGATAAAACATCAAGTATAAACGACATCCCTTATTTGACAAATCAGGTATGATGTGATATTGGATTCTGTTGGAACAAATCTCGAATACTTCAAAAGTGGTTCCAAAAGGTCGTGTAACAAGACATCGAAATACGTTACACTAATGCCTCCACTATTGGACATTGTCGACGAATCTGGCCTCGCATTGGGCACGTTAGCAGTTGTGAATACGTTTCTGAGGAAGGCAGTAACATTGGTAAGATTAAAAACACAATAAATTGTTTCGTCAATTCTTACTCGCAAAGCTTTTTTTTCAGAGGTTCCAGTCTAATCTCGATTACCATTGGGGATTTTTTCGTCCAAACAGTAATGCACTCAACTATCTTAACGAACTCGTGACTAAAGGGAAGGTATGTGTTTCAATGGGGTTATAAGTGGATACTGATATACTTGTCACTATCAAATTTTATCCATTTACATTAAAAACAAGCAAACATATGTTATTTGCAGGTCGTTCCTGTTATAGATAGCGTTTTCCCATTTCATTCATTACCAGAAGCTTTTGAGAAAATGAACCTGGGACATTTGAGAGGAAAAATTGTTGTTGACTATGAAAGTCTCCGTTAATGAAATATTGAAAGCCTGCGTTAATGAAATATTGAAAGCCTGCGTTGATGAAATATTGAAAGCCTGTTTTAATGAAATATTGAAAGCCTGCGTTGATGAAATATGTGTCTGTAACGGAAGAATGTGGAAGAACATATAAGAAATGAAAAAATACACGAGACAACTTTGTTTCCTGTCAAGACTTGAAGATAGGTTAGCTTAATCCACTGTTATCTATATGGGCTACCTATGCTTTTATTGTAAACATCGTTGACAGGAGATCGAAATCCTCGTTGAACTTTTTTTCAATATAATATAATACGTGATCGATTTGTGTAGCAGATTTTTTAAAATGACCACCCATCAAAAAAATACAGCAAAAAGAATAATAGAAAGTTAACGTAATTCTGATTTAACATACAGTCCAAAGTTGGAGAAAAGAAAATTTATAATATGTACTTATGAGTAGTAAAACATCTGTCATATCAATAGATTGATTCATCGTGAAATTACAGGTATAGCTGGGCGTGATATAGCCATTAAATATCTTTATATAACTTTATTTTGCGTCATATCATTAGTCAACATACATCTGTCATATTGATATAACGAACAAGGAAATCTACAGATTTTGCCTTGTAAATATGTTCTCGATGGTGACGATGCAGATTCTCTATAGATACGATATTTTCCCTTCATAATCCAATATACCGTAAATGTGCTCTGCAGTATATCAAATGTTTAATATAAACACAGTATGACCATAGAGATTCCTGACCAGATAAGAAAATGGGGCGATTTGCAATCATTTATTACACCTGCAAACATGCAACGTTTAACTTGCACGATTAATTTGGAGAGTTCAAAGACCTGCATGTTGGAGAAATTTGATGATCTCTGTAAAGATTAACGTAGTATTCACGACAGAATTGAAGTGAATGAAGCACATGGTGAAGGCGTTTTTGGAAAAATACTAATATTTCAGGGTGTTTGAATTTTATGTTTGTTTAGAGATTGGCAGCTGCATGCGCAACGTCAGTTCGCCAACGTCGCCTACCTTTATCTTATCACCGACATTATATATATATATATATATGTAGTAAACAAGCGCAGTTAGACATGTAATTTCATTAAAAGAAGAGTCTTACACGACTTGACTTACATTTTAAAATTTTTCTGATGAAGATTTTCATGATATTTATGTGAAAAGTTCCAAGACGAAGTAAATCCTCATTTTAAAGTAACTTTTACAGAATCGACGGATATTTGGAAGGGTGGCAAATTAATATGAAACATAAGACACTTATTGGTTTTGCAATCATGCTGGGCATTTTTTCAATTCATTATTGAGAAACACAACAGCATGAGCGCTTAGGCCACTAAAAAACACCACTGGTTACAACTGAGAGAAGAATAAGACACTTTGCCAAATCTATAGAACACTGAGACGAAACGTTATGATAGAGCATTTCATTCTATTTGCGTCGAACCTAAAGAGTTGATGTGTTATTCCACAAAAGAGCAACTGGTATACAGAAGTTGAACACCTGACTCTTTAAGAAGAAATCAAATTTGTTTTGCGTGAAACAACAGAAACAGTAATTTACTCGATCACATTGTGGGAAGAAAACAAAGACAAAAAAAACGACAGAAGATTACAGCGTGGGAGTTGTGTCGTTTTTTCTTACAAGAATTGAATAAAAATGTCAAGTTTCAAAAAATTAGAGCACAACTACTCCATTCATTGTTGGCATGTAGAAGTTGAGGTCAACCACAAAACGTTCGGTCACATGGTTTCCGACGTCACAGTTTGTGCATTAGACCTCGCCCTAATGTTCATAGCTGTCGCAGCAAATGGGTTAGCTATTTTTGCATACCGCAAAACAACAATACTGCAGACGCCGTCTAATTTCTTGCTGATGATGTTATCAATTGTGGACGTAGCTTTAGCATTGACAGTACAACCACTATTTTTCATATGGAAAATAATGGAAATTCTCGACAGTTTTTCCTGCCCCATTTACTTAGCCACATCCCTCTCGATCAATTTTCTAGGTGCCATTTCATTTCTCATCACCAGCTTTCTTGTTTCGATGGAACGTTACTTATCCGTTTTCCATCCTCTTATGCATCGTAGGAATGCGAACAAAACTGTTCTTAAACTCGTCTTGCTCGTCATTTCCATTGTATGGCTCGTATTTCTTTTAGTCACATTCTTCTTAAAACATCACACTTTGTATTATATTGTTACTGCATCTTTGGTCGCTTTGTGTTTGTTGGGAACAATTGCATGCTACCGAAGCATATTCAAAGAAATTTCTCAAAGATGTGGCGATCGTTCCATGTCCGTAGACAGCATCACCGACAACCGACGACCGAGTGGAAGATTCAAGCGAGAAAAATCGACCTTGACAAGCATGATATTTATAGTTGCCGCCATGACTTTACTCTATTTTCCAATAGGTGCCTGTGTGATGTACGCAACTTTGATTGGTCGTGATTGGCTGTACATGAATTTCTTCGTACCGTGGGCTTACATACTTGTGTTCACAAGCAACGCCATTCATCCCTTTTTATATGGTTGGAAAAACAGGGGAATGAGACAGTCCATCAACGGGATGATTCGTCACGTGTTTGAAGACACTGACGTTTAGTTATGTGAGAAAAGGAAAACATTTACAGAGCAAAACGACCTTATAAAAAAGTTTTAGTTCATAAATTTGTCTTTAAAACTAGAAATATGTTGCACAAATATCAGTTCTGTGACTCGTTTGTCACAAAACATATCGTCATAGCAACAAATTAAATAAAAATGATAACAACGGTTATTTTGAAAAAACGCCAAAACAAATGTGTTTTTCAATTGGATCATTGAAAAGCTCACAAGTTTATGTTTGTTTTTTCCAAATGCACAACAATCCATGCTGTAATTAGATAAGCACAAATACATGTTGGGGCTCTCATCCTTGTGCAAAAAATCTCCCACTGAGATGGTGAATAGAACAATTTCAATCGTGAATAATTTGATTAGAACCAATTATTGTTTTACAAACCGTACTCTCTCCAGATCCTTCAAAGGTTAAAGTCTTCGATACAAGTACAAATAACCCAAACTTTTTGGTGGGTTTTCAGACAACGCTACCTTCCTATCGTTGAATATTACCCACCTGAAAGAAGCACCAAAAAAATTCATCAGTTTAAATACAGGTAAATAAAAAGGAGAAAAGATGATCATGTATTGTCCCGGTACGTACGTAAATGTAAAATAAGTTATGACAGTAAAAACAAAACAAGACTAGAGGAAATTTCACCTGCCATCTTTCAAAATGTGACACACATAATGACCACATGATGTTGAGGTGCCCATGTGACTGATTATTGCTAATAATTGATACTCTGTAAGCAAAAGAACAATGTAAGCATAATTTCCCAACATTATTTTCACAAGCAGTGAAAATTTCTTCGTTTCCATTTATAAAATCATGAAAAGTGAGATAAATGGATGATGTTTATTAAACAATACAGGTTGTTAATTCCATCGTTTATAAGAAGTAGCTAATTTAAAACAAGAAACCGCCGTGAATTTCTATAAATTCTATTCGTTATTGTAACATTTATAAAACTGCTCAATAAGACCCACTTTACCGTCATAAACTCACTTCCATCTCCATCGGGACATTGTGGTCCAGTGTCAACTTGTGTCACATCCATTTCCATGCTGTCGAGTTCAGCGGCATGAGAAAATATCCAATCAGCAGCACGTTCCAAGTTGTTTTCCTGTAAGATAAACATACAATGAAACCATTCTCACCATTTTATCGTTGGGATATTTTTTCATATTTTTTTCTCTTTAGTAACAGTTAAATTTTAGTTAAGAATACATCAGAAATAAAAAGCAAAATGTTTTGTAATCACCGTCATTTTTAAAGCTTTTGCTGCCTGCTCTCGGCTAAAACCCATCGACATTAACAATGCAAGAGAATCTTCATTCGCTGTTTCCTCATTCTTTGTAGCGAATGACTGACTTTGCAAAGGCTCGTTGAAATCTAAAATTTATAAATGAAAATCTATCATGTTTGCATGCAAAAGTTATGCTTTGTATTGAAATCAATATTTCAATCTATAATCTAGTTATGTCCAAATAGAAAACTTCGTTGGTAACAAACCGTCGTCATTTTGATGATCAAAAATCCAATTCATCGCCACCTCGATGCCTGTATTTAAAACATATTGATACGTACCAATAAATAAAAATACAAACTGAGGTAAAAAATTTCGGTAAGACGAAACAAACACATTAATTTACAATAAAACACACAATCTAAGAAAACTAAAGTTCATTAAAAACACTCACCGTTATTACCGGTTTTCGCTACCGCTCTCCTGCATCCATTTACAGGAAATCCCATACATGTTAACTGTTCGACAACACTTTCATCAATTTGTGGATCTGTAAGGTGTAAGAAGGTATACAATGTCAACACTATTGTAAAAATAACCTTGTTCAATTTCATGAAATTGATAGGAAAACTCTTTGTTTCCCTAGACGCTAATTGTGTATCAACAGCACGGTTTTAATGAATGGCAACGGAAGAAGAATTGGAAAAAACATCAAGACTCGCAAGCACCTCTAATCAAACGTTTTCACTCATTCCTCATAGATGAACATGACAATAGAGAAAGCTGCCATAGTCTTCAAAACATTATTCACAAACATGATGACTATGAATTCAAGTGACAACACTTTCCTACAAGCATTATTTACGAGTTTTTTCAAAGCTCATAACAATACCATTTTGCTGTTCATCCAATTGCTCCGGTAACTCTTCTTCCCCAGGCTGCAATCCATAACCTCGCAATTCACTAATGTCAATGACGTCATCGACATCAAAAGCGATATCTGAGGGGAAAGCAAAACTTGTGTGACACATACAACCATAAAATAATTCAAGATTATTTTCATTACCCAATTTTTTAGGCGTCCAGTCTTCACCAATTGTAAATTTTCTCATTTGTATTAGAAGATAGTTTGGAAAAGTATTAAAACGTGTTCTTCTAAAAGTGTTAGAATGGACCAATAAATTGGAGAGTGGGTTATAAAACTTCACTGATACAAAACAACACAGTTTGCTTACTTTTTCGCACGTGATTTTCTCTCCAAAGCAGTGCTATAAAAACCATCGATGACTTCATCTTTGGCAAAGTTCTTTATACACGTTTTTAGCGGAATTCGAGGTCGAACGACCTTCTCTGGATCTCTGGTGTGAATAAAATTTTATATTTTTATTTACACTTTGTCATTTTAAATAACACGAAATGGAATGAACACTGTAGAAGCTCACATTTTTTCTTTATTTTTCTCTGCCTCTTTCTGAAATAACTCAAATGCTTCGTATTCATCTTAAATACAAAAACGACCTTCTTGACACAAAGCAAGAATAGTTTTTCTTCAGGGGTAAGGCAAGAGGGGTTAAGAAGGATAATTTACCTTTTAGGGGAAGGGGAAGAGAGGTTAAATATGTAAAGCAATTTTTTACGAATGAATTTTCGACTAACTTTGTAATTCCACTTTTGCTTTTTCATATATACTAATAAAATATAAAAATAACAGAATATGGCGACAGATGGCACCGTTTCGGCAATCTAGCAATCATCAACGTACGTTCTGCTGACTAATAGGTCGGAAAAGCTGTTTATTATACACATTGTTCAATCATATTACAATGCATGCACGGTAAAACCAATACATCAATATGTCAGAATGCTCAAAATTGAACATGTTACTCATAAAACCAATTTACCTTTATTAACTATTTCATCCAGGGGATGGAGAGAGACCACGAAAAATCTTCTCGAAGATGGTATTTTACTTTTTTTGATTCGATGCACTCTATACGTTCTTCTACCTTAATTATAATAATTTACATTCAACAAACAGTTCACGATTCATCAATAAGACATTGTTTATAAGCGCTAACAATTCACTCTTAAGAACTACCATTTCAATATAGTATTGCACCTTGTTTTTTGAACCTCATTCATGTATAAAATACTAAAATGAGAAAGTAAGTTCAAACCAACCTTAAATCTGAAGTTATCAACTGGATTTCCTCTCGATGAAGTTCTCTATAAGGGTACAAATGGGGGTATAAGAGATGTTTACACATCTCTATAGGGGTACATATGGGGGTATAAGAGGTGTTTACACATCTCTGTAGGGGTTACATATGGGGGTATAAGAGGTGTTTACACATCTCTATAGGGGTACATATGGGGGTATAAGAGGTGTTTACTAATCTCTGTAGGGGTACATTTGGGGGTATAAGAGGTGTTTACACATATGAAAGTCAATTTTGTAATTCAGTGATCAACATTGACTGGAATTTTAAAATGTTCAATGTGGTTAAACTAGAGTTACCTGAACTTTTTCAATCATATCGAAAAAATAGAGAAGAAATTCTTGGGCATCTTGTTGGTGACTTGTAGAGAACTCTGGATGTCCTTTGCCAACCACGGATTTAAAAATATGAGGAGATATACCGCGTAGGTTCTAATGCAATAAACAGAACAAACAGATGTTCTTACGTTATCTTCATCATTAATTAATCGATTCTTAAAAGAAAATTATTTTTCTCTTTAGGTAATAAAACTATTACGAAGCATTAAAGGTATTTACGTAATGGTCACGTGACGATACGAAACACGTGTTTATTAATGATAAAAATACATTTCAATTCAAGAAAAATACATATAAATCTTACCTCTTCAACAACTTTTTCTTCATCAGTCCCATCACTCGTCATTGGCTTAGAGTAGTCTCCTGATAATAAACCAGATCCTAACTTTGACCTGACAAAAATTACGTCAAATGATGATGAAGAATTCGGGTTTGAAAAAAACACATAGAAATTTACAGGAAAACATACATTTGAACTTGGAAATCGTCGACAGCCACGGATGATTGTTCTTCAAATATTATATCGCTAATTTCTGCATACCTAAACAATAATGTCAAACTGTAAAATAAAATTCACTTGATGCATCATACATTGACACCAATACCTTTTGTTGAATTCAGGAAGCGCAAACAAAACTTGTAATACAGAATTCATGTAACAACTACAGAAAAAAAGAGTATTGAGCTTTGCATTTATACTTGCAATAGTCAAAACATAAAGTTGTGGATCATGAATACTGAATAATTGCAGAAAACAAAAAAAAATGGTTTTATGTTTTCTTTGGAAGAGTTATTTTTATACTACTTTTCATAAACAAACCTATTTCCTAGATTATGAATTCCCGTACAACCTGGACCATATAATGGAATTAGCTGTTTCCCAGATTCCTGTAAACGGATAAAAAACGTAATTACAGTCACATAATTGATAAGAAAAACACTAAAGAATGCTAATGAAGCGACAACGACAACAATTACTACAAGTTTTCTTCAATTTAAAAACAGCATTTCAATAATACTACCTGAATGGCATCAAATTCAGACTGTAACTTCATATTCATTTCAATCTCCAATTCAGTCATGGTTCTATCGGTCTAAAACAAAAACAAACTCCATGAAATCAACGTTACAATACACCAGTGTTGAAGTTCAGTTGGGGAAAAGATAAGAATTTTGTATAACTAAAGAGTTTACATGAAGTTTGCAACGTTTTCTCTTACATTAATAACAGTAGAGACGTTATTGACACCAAAAAGAAAAATGGAAATCGAATTATTTTATCTTACTCCATCAATAAACTTTGCTTAGTATAACATTAATTTCCTTGACAATGAAATAATTTTACCTTCTCTAACGCAGTGATGTTGATACCAAAATGTTCGAGATGTTTGCTTAAATATGGATCGATTACCATATCATCTTCAGCATATGAAAATACATCTTAAAACGCAATAAACAAAAAAACACTGCAAGATACTGATGTCACAACAATTATCATCAACAGAATGGCGAAAAAACAGTAAAAGCTATTTTCATTCAACAGTAGCTACGTCATAAATTCATGTCGTCATCTCCTCGTGTACTACGATGTACTACATGAGATACTACAAAGTACTACGAAGAACTACGAGATACTAAGGAATACAACAAGGTACTATAGTAAGAAACAATGTCTTGAAGTTCTAGTTTACCAGCTTCACTTTGCGTGATTGTTCCAAGTTTGACACAAAGTGGATATCCTGTTTCTTTGTAATGTTCAACAGCATGATTGTTACCTCCAGAACCTGTGAAAAATAATTTCATTATGTATAACATATCCTATATTTACGATCATTGAAAAATATAGCCTCATTTACCATCATAAAACTTTCTTCCACACAAAATCATGCCATCGGTTAAATTCAACCAAAGATTTTGAGTCAGATCACATTTTTCACATTTCCAACCACTAAATCAACAATTATATTTATGAATAACCTAATTTGATAAAATAGAAAGAATGGCATTATGGTAAATTTGATAAAAAGCTAAAAAAATTTAATTTTACAGCAACACATGTATGTTTTTCCTGTTGATTGCTTACACTGAGGATAACAGGTAAGTGTAGGATAACACTTACTACAGAGTACAAATCAGTACATACAGGGATATTATTTTTACCTGGGTGGAATTTTAACACCATTATCTAGTTGCAAAAGGTTTTCGGCAAACCTAAAATCAAACAGAAATATAAAAAAACAATGTTCTAATAGTTCTGTCCTTGACTGCAGTCCAGTTCAATTGAGCCAGCAATATGATTCACAATAAAAAAAAACCTGTTACTGAAACAACTAAAGAAGCACAATGTTAAACTGAAAATTTCATAAAATTATCACATGTAATGACAAACGTACTTTGATATTGATCTTTTTTCACCATTCCATGATGAAACTGATTCGGTAAATGCAGATGCATTGGTGGATATGATTCCAGCAACTGACAGTTGAACCTGTAAACAGTTTTAACAATCAAGCTTCTTATACAATCAATTAATAAGCCTACCAAAAATGAATCCGTATCAAATTGTACCAGTGCAGGTATTTGTTCATTTTCAAGACTAACAACAACATCTTGATTTCCATCACCAAAGACAGCAAGAGTGTATATATCTTCATACTCAACCTTTGTAAATTAAAAATTATGTTGTATAAAACTGAAGTAGTCATGTAACTATGAAGGAACTTTATTGACAACCACTCACTAAAATTACCTTGGTTTCGTTTAGGTCAAAACCACCCTCAACTCCTTCATTCAATGAGAAAAATTGCAGAACAATGTAAGCATATAGACTTGATGATGATGTTGGAGAAAAAAAATTTACCAATTGCCAATTTTGTTGGTTTCTTTCTAGGCGGGTCAGCAGGAAGTGTATCTGGTCTATCTTTAGGCTACAAAACAATACAAAATATTTTATGTTCCAGTTCATGTTCCAGTCATGGCACGAAGTGACTACACTATCCTATAAGTTACGATTGACTATTTTTTACCTTATATACTTGTTTGTAATGTAGGTAGACATTTATGCCGGTTTTTCTTCGGTACAGTTGCACATGTTTAGCACAAAAACCAAAAAAAGTTTTTACACAGATGTAAAGACCGCCAGCAAATTTCTAAGAAGATAAGTTGGTAGTTTATTTTGTGTGATGTTTTGTTCATTCAATGGCGATGAATTTGAAAAGTTAAGATACCGGTCCATGAAAACAGTAAATACATTGATCTTTATAAACTTTATCGCCCCCTCTTGGTATTCGGGCTTCCGCAATCTGTATTTGGTCCATTTTTTACAAAGAAATACTGTGGAATGACAGGAAACAAAAGCAAAAGTTTTAATTTTAGTATTTTACCGAGTCCGCGCGAATTCCGCTTTGTTCGCGAGGTAGTCCACGTGAAAATGGAAATTTCTTGCTATCCATTAAAGTGGAAGTATCAAATTTCACAGAATACTAATTTTTTACAGTTTTCAGAACTAAAAGACATAGGCACTTCACATACATTTTAACCGCAAAATCCACTGCGTAAAATTTGTACTTCTAATCAATGTCATTCCCGAATTCAACCACTGTTGTGGATTGAACAGTCGCTTAATAATCTCAGATTCAACAATCACTTTTTTACACTGCCTGACAAGTAAAGTCAAAGGGAAAAAATATTTGTAAAATGCAATATACAATTCAAAGAAAGGCGATGTGGAAACTGTTAATGGTTTGATGGTGATGTCAAAAATTTACAGTTTCAATCTGCGTCTTTTTTCGGTTCCTGTTTTATTATTCTTATGATATCTCGTTTCTTCAGAATTCGGTTTGTGCTTTACATTTCTTCAAATTATACGTATAAATTTAGTTTTCTAAATTGCACAAATATGAGAAATTCATGATTAAATGGTCCCTTACTCTCAAGAAATTTCAGTAGCTTCAACAAACCTGTTTCACTAACACATTTACGAAAAAAGCATGAAACATAACTTACACTAATCTGTCTGTTTTATTCTGTATACTGTTTTTATAGTAAAGGATCGCAGTCATAATTTATATACTATTAAATAAATATCTGCATCGAATTGACAAAAATCAGTGATCAATCATCAAACAGATGTCTCCAGCAATACGTCAGACTTTTCCTGGACAAAGACATCTATATAATATCATAATAATTGGATATTAGAATTCGCTCATATTATCATTGATGACAAACAATTCATACATTAACGAGTATTTGCTCCAGTACACACATTACAACGAGCATTATCTTTAATATATGTACCTTAAAAATCATTATCTTTATCTATATCATTATCTTAAAAAATACGTAAAGTAAGCAAGTAGACGCAAGAACTCAAATGGAATGCTTCATAATTATATTCGTCACAATTTGATAAGATTCGTTCCAACCATTCATTCCAACCATTCATTCCAACCATTCATTCCAACCATTCATTCCAACCATTCATTCCAACCATTCATTCCAACCATTCATTCCAACCATTCATTCCAACCATTCATCCCAACCATTCGTTCCAACCATTCGTTCCAACCATTCGTTCCAACCATTCATTCCAACCATTCATTCCAACCATTCATTCCAACCATTCCTTCCAACCATTCATTCCAACCATTCGTTCCAACCATTCGTTCCAACCATTTCTTCCAACCATTCATTCCAACCATTCGTTCCAACCATTCGTTCCAACCATTCATTCCAACCATTCATTCCAACCATTTCTTCCAACCATTCATTCCAACCATTCATTCCAACCATTCGCTCCAACCATTCGTCCAACCATTCCTTTCAACCATTCATTCCAACCATTCATTCCAACCATTCCTTCCAACCATTCATTCCAACCATTCGCTCCAACCATTCGCTCCAACCATTTCTTCCAACCATTCATTCCAACCATTCATTCCAACCATTCATTCCAACCATTCATTCCAACCATTTCAACCATTCTTCCAACCATTCGTTCCAACCATTCGTTCCAACCATTCATTCCAACCATTCATTCCAACCATTCATTCCAACCATTCATTCCAACCATTCATCCCAACCATTCATTCCAACCATTCATTCCAACCATTCATTCCAACCATTCATTCCAACCATTCATTCCAACCATTCATTCCAACCATTCATTCCAACCATTCATTCCAACCATTCATTCCAACCATTCATTCCAACCATTCATTCCAACCATTCATTCCAACCATTCATCCCAACCATTCATCCCAACCATTCATTCCAACCATTCATTCCAACCATTCATTCCAACCATTCATTCCAACCATTCATTCCAACCATTCATTCCAACCATTCATTCCAACCATTCATTCCAACCATTCATTCCAACCATTCATTCCAACCATTCATTCCAACCATTCATCCCAACCATTCATCCCAACCATTCATTCCAACCATTCATTCCAACCATTCATTCCAACCATTCATTCCAACCATTCATTCCAACCATTCATTCCAACCATTCATTCCAACCATTCATCCCAACCATTCATTCCAACCATTCATTCCAACCATTCATCCAATTTAACGGTGACCGCGCGGTAAACTAAGCTTGTTTCGCACACTCATGTGTATGCCGTAGTTCATTAATTATAAAGATTGTTTAGTCTTAAAATAAATATCTCAGTTTATCTTACCTCGAGGTTCTTCGGATATGCTTTCGTTACCAGCAACAAATAAATACAACGATACAGGCTGAAAAAGCGAAAAAATTACTCAACTTACACAGTTTTAATAGAACACGTCTTGATGTAAGCAATCATGCTTCAATAATCAAGCTCACACGAAATTTCAGAAACAGTACATTCATGTAATTCATGTCATATAAAATGCTATGCAATTTACCTTATGATCTCCCATGCACGTTTCAATTCCATTTAATTCATAACGTGCATATTTTTTATCCTAAAATAACAAATAACTCAAATATTACATGTCTTTCTTTCAAGACGGTGTCCATATCCTAGTGCCCTTCCTGTCCCTGGGTGTCGGGAAGCATGGACAGAAAACGGGATTCATTGTTTTCAAAATTTTCTTTTGTTTACAAGAGTTCTTCTCGTAAAATAAACTATAAAATCAAAAAATACTCTCAAAGTTTCAAACAACTTCTGTCTCTTTGACTTATAATTTAACTTGTTTAGACGTTTTTTATGGCGAACAAAGAAATGTGAACTTCGATGTTCGTGAAAGTAAACAGAGTTCAAATGACGGCATCAAAAGATTAAGCTGATAAAGAGCACAGTAAATTTGTACAAAAGCAAACTTACAATGATTATTTCTTTGGTACTATGAGTTAATAAAACACGATCACACCATGAGGGACATCTAGGAACAACAGGTGATAAACTATTGATCTCCATATAAATTACTTCGAAAAACACGGACTCCAGGGGAACGAGTTTTTTAAATTTAAAATAACGATTTTAAGACCCTGAGTACAAAGTTGCAAAAACAGAAATTCATTTTTGATGTAACTACGTATATAGCCATTGCAATTTCATATACTTTCAAATATTAAAAAAAAATACAATTAAAACAATAAAGAATATAGCAGTTCTGTTCCGAATCTTTCGCCCCAGGTCCTTCACACGCGGTCAGGACATTACCTTTTTTCAAGATAGATAGAATCTGTAATTTCAACATCTTCAGTAAATGGATAACTGTAAGTAAGGAAAAAAACCTTTACGTTAATCACAAACTAAACGAGACGAATTCACCTTGCAACATTGATCGAATGTCCAAACAGCAAAGCTCATTTCGACAAGATGAGTTAAAAGCAGAAATTGATAAACAAAACCTCCATCAATAAAATAATTTATGAATCACCTGGGTATGAAATTGACAGGAAACTCAAAAAGCCATTTCTCAAATGCTGGAGGCTCCTTGTCCAGCTTTCGAAGTCTCCGAGCGTTTTTTTCAAAAAGTCTTGGACATTCCATCTTGAATGTACTTGGCTCAACAATAAGCCGGGCCTTGATAAAAAAAATACAACTCATTCTCAACAAGTCAAACTAGAGCAGGAAAAACAGTAAACCACTTCCTTGAGATGATAATCATTACATTGGACAGAACTAAGCAACCAGCACTACCCATTCACAATTTAAAGAGAAGTTACCATATGTTTGTACATTCACAAATGTGTATGCATATGTCAGGAGGGGGTGGAGACATATAAAAAATTTTGATGTCAGGAGGGGTGGAGACATATAAAAATTTTGATGTCAGGAGGGGTGGAGACATATAAAAATTTTGATGTCAGGAGGGGTGGAGACATATAAAAATTTTGATGTCAGGAGGGGGTGGAGACATATAAAAAATTTTGATGTCAGGAGGGGGTGGAGACATATAAAAATTTTGATGTCAGGAGGGGTGGAGACATATAAAAATTTTGATGTCAGGAGGGGAGACATATAAGAAATTTTGATGTCAGGAGTCATATAGTCACACTTATGTCAGGAGTCACATTAAGTGACACTTATGTTAAAGACTCTTTTTCAGTTAAAGTTAACTTTATGGGTGTTTCTTTCTCTTCATCTGAATAGTTCATCTCAACACGACATTGCTTTGCCAGCTTCTATAACAAAAACATAGAGCTTCTTCACTCCAAATCTTACATGAAGTATACCTCATGCGTTGCCAAGATAATATCACCTTTAAAAGTTTACATTGATCCAGTCGAAAGTTGAAGTCACCAAAAATAAATGCCGGATCTTCATCTAAACTGTAAATTTCGAATGAACATTGAAAATAAATTGTTTAGCAATGAGAAAGTAATAATGACTATTACACACATATAATACCTGTTTAATACATATTCAAATGCATGTTTCCTGTACTCTGCATACACAGAAGGACTCTGAAATATTTATAGAATCTCACAATTTAATAAATTTATTTAATTTACATAATGTCTGATTATTAACCATGAAATTTGTATTTATAAACAATGTATTCTTCCAATCATCACCATATTGATGGTGACTTTTGTATTTTGACACAGGATGTACAAAATATGTATTGATATGCAAACTATATCATTGCATCATATAAATAAACCATGTTATAAGTCATTCCATATATAATATAAAGCAATATACATACTGATCTCAATGAAATCAAATTGGATGGATCATGAAACAGGTGAATGTTAATCAAATTCATGACTCTAAATGGAAATAGGACATTGATTTAGCATTTCATAGATCTCAACAATTTAATTAAACACTTTGTCCCTTGTCAATAAAACCAATTCAATATTTGCCATGTTCTAGATTCACTCACATTCCACAAATCTTCCATTTAGTTTTTAAGTACCCTTTTCTTGACCATTTCATCTACATTATAGGCAAATGAAACAATGCAAAATCTTACAAGCAATTGATCAATTAAAATCTTTGATTAACCTCTTTACACACTTTGATCACACTCTGATCATACTTTGATCACACTTTGATCACACTCTTTACACACTTTACACACTGTGATCACACTCTTTACACACTTTACACACTTGGATCACACTCTTTACACACACACTTTGATCACACTTTGATCACAGTCTTTACACACTTTACACACTTTGATCACAGATCACACTCTTTACACACTTTACACACTTTGATCACACTCACACTTTGATCACACTTTACACACTTTGATCACACTCACACTTTGATCACACTGATCACACTTTACACACTTTGATCACTTTGATCACACTCTTACACACTTTGATCACACTTTACACAGATCACACTGATCACACTGATCACACTCACACTTTACACACTTTGATCACACTCTTTACACACTTTGATCACACTTTGATCACACTCACACACTTTACACACTTTGATCACACTCTTTACACACTTTTTGATCACACTTTACACACTTTACACACTTTGATCACACTTTTTGATCACACTTTGATCACACACACTTTGATCACACTTTACACACTTTGATCACACTCTTTACACACATTACACACTTGGATCACACTCTTTACACACTTTACACACTTTGATCACACTCTTTACACACTTAACACACTTTGATCACACTCACACTTTACACACTTTGATCACACTTTGATCACACTTTACACACTTTACACACTTTGATCACACTCTTTACACACTTTACACACTTTGATCACACTCTTTACACACTTTGATCACACTCTTTACACACTTTACACACTATGATTACACACTTTGATCTACACTCATTGATTAAAATCTTTCAAACTACAGCCACTGTTTGCAACAAACTTCAAAATTTTTTGCCTGTTATAAAACATCTGAATGCAATTTGAAAACAAAAAAGTGAATCTAAACACCAGCTTAAAAATGATAAACAACTGCACGAGCTTGTCAACTAACTTGCAAAGTTTACAAACATCATAATTATCAATGATATAATCCAAATAGGATGAACATAAATACCATGAATGAGTAGGCTTAACCAATAAAGGTTTACTTTTTGTAATTCCAACATTGCATGCATTAAAATTCATATATACAAATTTTTACCTCAGGGAAAAATTCTTTAGGATATTTCAACTTCTCTATAGTATTCAAAGAGTCCAAGCAATCTGTAAAAATCTTAATAAGAAATTTTATCCTGACGTTATGTAATACAGAAGTCTCGCTCAGAACATTGCCGAGCTCTTAAGAAGAAATAATGAGCAGTTTTCTTTTCCAGTTATCATGTTATTGTATTATAATGAAAATTTTCATTCTTCTAACTTTAATTTATGTTATTCAAATTACCTGTTTTCCTGCTTTCACTGTTTCATATCTTCTATCTATGAAAATATCCATACTCAGATACTCGAACACAAATATTAACAAAAATAGACACAAATAGCTTATACCATTATAATTCCAAATTGCGACATTCTTCAGTGACTTGTGAATAAGAAAATAAGCTCCGAGGGCCTAATGGTGACAAAAGTAGTACATCAGTTTTCATAATACTCCAATCTTTTGCACACTTTACATACAGAATAGCAAGTCAATGGAGTCACTCCAAAGTCCTTTTGAAAATTCAAAAATGCACTTACAGTATACTTATCTTCATTTGTAAAGTCCTGATCAAAATAACCAAGTACTGTTGTGTAATTAGACAGGTCTTCACATGCTAAGAATTGTCTGCAAATTACGTAAGTTATTGATGGTGAAGGTGAAGTATGATTGCCATTTAAAGTTGAAAATACGCGAGGAATATTTGAAAGTGAGAAATATTGAGCACGTACTTATTCATTTGTTTAATGCCATCAATGGCAGCCTGTGGATATTTACCACCGATCTCTTGGAAGTGAATAGCTACAAATGGAGGATATCCAAGAGTGGCAATTTTCTGTCAAAAAAAATTATTCAAAACTGAGTAATAATTTTCCTATAGTATTCATAAAAAATTCATTAAACTTAGCAAGCAAAATCTATCTGCGTATTTCTAGCGACAAACCTACAAATTTTCAATGAGTAGTAGACTTACATTTGTCATTTCCTTACACCATTTTGGTAAAAGATGTTTTATCTAGAAATAAATCAATTATAATGCGTATCACAGTTAAGATAATACATAAAAGACATTTATACTCACGTCTTCAAACAGAGAGCCCACGTTGGCCGTAACTAATAATAATGGCAATTTATCATTCATAATTGGACAGACCAGAAATTTCTTTGTATAAAATCTATTTCGACGTTTCTTCTTTTACTTATTCCCCTGGATAATTTTAGGCTTGAAAAAAGGAAACAGGTACAAATCAAACAACATCTTTCCGAAGAATATACAAACAACGAATTAATTTGCAAGAAGCGTTGAATTATTCAAAACGTGCGGTGCAGCTTTGATTACATATCTATGTTGACATGTTTTCCCATAACTTTACCAGGTCAATATCCAGAGATATTACCCTTCGCCCATAGAAATAATAAATATATCACATGTGAGCCGCTGACCGGCGTCAGTGTAAAAAAAACTGACATTTTAAATGACGTCGAATCTACAGTTTTTCCTTTCACCAGAAGTTGAAGTCTTCGGTTTGTTTACATTGGAACAAATAAAATTTTCTTTGAGTTTTTTTGATTTGAAACGACGTGTTAATTGTTGACATTTGTATAATAAGGCCAGTGTGACCTGTCCTTTTTAGTCTCTTTGGTCTTAACCGAAAATTGTTTGCAGTAAAATTTATACTTAACAACGGTTACTCCAAATAATGTTAGCATTTTGATTCGAGGTTTCCGCCGTTTCGATTTTAGTCATTATCAGTTGACTAAATAAAGGCAAAACGTTGAATCAAAATGCTAACAATATTTGGAGTTACCGTTGTTATGTATTTTATTAAAATACTCAGTAGAAAACAGTAAAATTTATCATAAACAACGACGAAGATATTTACTGACGCTGACCATTTAATATATCAAATAACAATACCTCCACCTCAGGTAAATTGGTGAATTTTAAAATTGACTACATGGAGCAGAAATGCAACATTCTACTGTAAATCATTAAAAAGATACATTTCTTGTGAAGTATATTCCTTCACAGGTGCACATTAACTTGGTTATAGAAAAAAGTGAGTCCAAAAATTGACTACGACCATCATACTTAACAACAACTTTTGGATGTTGCTGTTGGTTTTTTATTGTTTCCATTAACGACGTTAGCCACCTTAAATGGATTAGGTGAAACAGACATTTCAAAACTTCTGGAACAATCAGGCTCAACTGTCATAAATTCAAGATGTTTTGCATATCTGGAGTTTTTCAAAACATGCCCAATGTCAGCGCTAACAGGCTTGAAAGAACACTAAAAAAGAAAAAAAACTAAAACACTCAGATTGTCTCAAAATACAAAAATTCAATAAGCCAAATCAAGATTCATTGAAATTTATTAGTTTGAATTCAAACCAAAATTTTTAGCTCAATTTACTATGTATAAAAATCCTACTTACATCAAATGAATTCTTATGATCAAATTTGAAGACATTAGGGCTATCGCTTATTGTACCTAAATGAAGAAAGTACTTGCATTAACAATAAAGCACATAATTCATTAAGAAGCATGACATTCTTTTGGTATTTTGGGAAGCCTTGGCATTGATAATAGCTAAATAAAATATATTACACTCACCTTTGTATTTCACAGAGATGCAATCCTTTTCTTGTGTTTTCTTGCTTGTCTTGAATAGCCGATATGTTACTGAGGCAAACTTTGAATCTCCTAATGGTGTAAATAACCTCAGCTTTATTCATTCTTCTATTTACCTACTTGCTAAATGTATGCCATATTCTGAATCTATTTTTAAAAAGTGACATGTGCAACGTGTGATTTTTCATTAATGAAAGGCTTGCAAACCACAAGTTGTATGCATGCAAGCATCAAGAGTGCTCAATACCATAGAGCAATAACTAAATAGTAGTTAAAATTAATTAAAATAATAGTCACTATAGCCTGTTCATTGGTATGGCAACCCAATCTTCATAAATCATCCTGCTTCAATTTGCTTTGTAAAACCATAACTTAATTGTGCAGTTTCAAATGAATATTTATAATACAGGGTAAAAAGAATTTCTCATTTTTTGTTTGCTACACATGGTCATTATTTTCCAAACAACAAGTTTTTCTTGAGAATAAAAAAATCTTTACAAGGATAAATATTGTCATCTACATCTATTACCTAAAACCTTTTCAAGTCCTTCATTTCCGCAGGTCATTGGTCGACTGGTGACCAAATAGGGTCCAGAGAAACCAATTTCTTTGGTTAATTCAACAAATGACTTCCAATACATTGCACCAGCCAGACATTCCCCTTAAAGTTTATCATATTATTTAATTTAAGTCTTCAACAAATATCATAAATAAAATAAAATAAAACAATGCAAGCATGCAAAATAAATAATACGACAAAAACGTGAAGTGATTCATTATATTACCCCAGAGTTCTTTATGTTCTTTGATATTCTGGGGTAATTCACGGTCTGCATAAACATCACTGAAGTAAAATTCTCCACCTTCCTATACAATATGCAGACAAGAAAGACTCAGTGCAAAATACACAAAGCTTTGTAACATGCATTAAAAAGATTTTTGTTCACACTCCTTGGTCATGTAGTTTCTCTTTACCTGGAGAACTCTGAAAGCTTCTTTAAAAACAGAAGGCTTATCAGGAGACAAATTGATGACACAGTTTGATCTACAGAAGATTTAAAAAATAAATAAATGAGTTTCTAACACAACAATATTATTTCTTGTCAAACTAAGGGAAAATTATAGGAGTGGCCAGGGGGGCTGACCATTCATATTGGGTAAACATTTCATGGGTAGACTAATACATACATGATCAAATCACAGCTTTCATCTTTTATTCCAGCATCTTTAAGATTTTCAATATATCCAAGTTTAAACTCAACATTAGGTGAAGTGTATCCAAATTTATCCATGTGATATTGAATGTATTTGTTTGCAACATCCAACTAAAAATGAAATGGAACCCATTTGTATAGCTTCATATATTTTCTTGCAGAGCAGCAAAAGTTCTCTATACAAAGCAGCTTGCAAAATCCTCTTATTCACAAGATTTACTGCTCATATTTTTAAATGAACACATAACACAACTAGAAAATGGTATACCTGTTCTTCAGTCATGTCAATACCCGTCACAAATCCTTCTTCGCCAACAAGTTTACTCATTACAAAGCAATCTCGACCAGCACCACTTCCAAAATCCAAAACCTTTGTACTCTCAACAGCATTTGGGAATACCAAGCCACATCCATAATACCTGAAAGAAATGGCTATGAATTTCGTTTTTAAAATATGATTTAAGTAATTTGTCATCGTGGATATCAATGTAACTGTATTTGTAAAGATTTAAAAGAACTTTAAATCCTAATTATATTATTCGATAACATAATTTCTTTTAATTGCTAAAAAATATTGTTCATTCAGTCCTGCTTTGCCAACAAAATAAATGATGATGTTGATTGTTCTGGCATTGAAACAGAAACACTAAAATGGCAGACACTATAAACAACAAAATCATACTTTGATAAAACGTCTTCGTGGCAAAGTGAAATTGCTTCCCTAACCCGTTTTGGAACTTTTTCCACTTGTACACAAGCATTTGTCTGTAGATTTTCATTCGTTGCCAAAACCTTGCCATAGTATTCCTTCACATTATCTCTGATTTCACTCGCCATTTTCTTTAAAAGAAATAAGAAAAAGCTTTTTTCAAAAGATAAATAAATTTTATCACGCGTTCATCACATGTACAAATACTTTTGTAATGGAATGTGAATACTATTTTGAACCATTCAAAACAATGCTTAGACCAGGGGTTCTTAACCTTTTGTTGGTCACGGACCCCCAAAACATTCTAATGAAAGCTTTGGACCCCTTTAGAAGAAACACATCGCAATTGTCAAAATTAGCTTTTAATTAACTTAGTAATATAGTCCAGAAATTTGCAGACCAAACAGAAGCAAATTAATAATTCAACGAATAATAATGAATAATAAATCAATTATCGAGTCAATTAAGTTATACAACAATTGCAAAACCATAAAGAATCAAAAAATACAGTGCAGTAACCAATAAGTAGAATGCAAATAACTTTTTAAATCAATGCGAAGGTTGCTCCTGCTTATCTTCAACAAGAACACGAAATTGTGGGACGGTTTTTGCCAGGGCCACACGCATGTTATCCTTAGCATCCAACCGATTTCGCTGTTTCGTTTTGATAGCAAGAAGAGCAGAAAACCCTGCCTCACAGAGGTAGGTAGCAAAAGGAATAAGAGCAACCATGGCTCTCTTCACCAGGCGAGGATACGCTTGTGCCAAGGAACACCAGAATTCTGCAAGGTTCTTTGAATTGAATTCGCTCCTTAGCATTTGCATTGTCCTCAACTCAATGAGGTCATCTTTGGCAAGATCGTCCTCACCAATAGAATTTAGATCTGCAAGAAATGGGTTGCGAATCCACAATTCAAAATTCGGATCATGTGAGCAATAACTTTCAAAAGATTGCTGCAATCTGTCTAAATTTTCGCACATATTTCCACGTAGAGAGGAAAGCAGGGCTTCAGTATTATCGATTCGAGTTTGAGAGATCACTTCCTCCAGCATTGGGAAGTTGGCAAATTTGTCTGTTTCAAGTCTTCTTTTCCACAAAGGAAGCTTTGCTTGAAAAGCCTGCAGTCTTTCTGTAACGTCCATAATCGTTACATCTGGTCCTTGAAATGACAGATTTACTTCATTCAAATGACCGAAAATATCTGCCAAGTAAGCTAAGCCATAAAGAAACTCCTTTCTGTCAAATCGCACTGATAGAGGATTTTGTTTTTCTCGTAAGAAGAATGAAACTTCCTTTCTCAGTTCCATCAAACGCTTCAAAACTTGACCTCTCGAAAGCCAGCGAACTTCAGTGTGGTACAAAAGTACTTCATGTTTTGCACCCATTTCTTGGCAAAGTCTTTTGAATATACGATTGTTTAAAGCTCGAGCTCTGACAAAGTTGACGATCTTTACAGAAACAGACAAAATTTCTTTTAAAGCTGGTGATAGAGTTTTTGATGCCAATGCATGTCGATGTAGAAAGCAATGAGTCACAATGATGTGAGGAGCTTCTTTCTTTACCAACGAAGCAAACCCTGAGGTTTTTCCAAGCATTGCGGGCGCTCCGTCGGTACACAAACTACCAATATTTCTCTTCCAATTGAAGTCTTGTTTGGCAAAGAAATTGTTCACCATCTCTAATACGTCTGCAGCCTTTGTAGTTTCTGAGAGAGGCTCGCAAAATAGAATTCTTCTTTAATTGCATCAGCGTGCATATAACGAACATATACAAGAAGCTGGGCACACTGAGAGACATCTGTGCTTTCATCCAGTTGCATGCTAAATGGAAATGGTGATGCTTTAAGTTCCTCCATTACTTGTTTCAGAATATTATTAGAAATGTCAATAATTCTGGAGCTGATGGTATCGTTTGACTAGGAAACGGCTTCAAGTTTCTTTCTTTGTTCTGTGCCACATACTAGCTCAGTCATTTCCAGAGCACACGGTTTTATCAATGTCTCTCCGATAGTGTGAGCTTTGCCTTGGCAATGCGGTAAGCGACCTTATAAGATGCTTCAAGGCAAGGCTTCTGCGTCTTGATGAATCCGAACTTCGGCAAAGTCCCTGATTTCTCAAATCGAGCCTTCTTAGAACGAAAAGAATCAACACTATCCAGTGCGTTTTTAGGATGAATAGATATGAGGTGCTCTTTCAGTTTCGCTGGCTTCAAACTTGCATTGGCAAGGACTTTACCACATAGAAAACATTGCGGCCTTTCGCTGCCATCACTATCAGTAATAAAGGTAAAACCAAAGCTACATAATTTTCACTGTACTTTCTCTTCTTCGACATTTTTTTAAATTGGTAAAATTTTTAATTTATTTATCCTTCCAGGTTATAAACTTTTGTAGTAGAAAACACATAAGCAAATTGACAGCTTTCTATAATACTCAATGCAGCATACACGTGCACGGTTTTTTGTTCAATCTATGCAGCATACACGTGCACGGTTTTTTGTTCAATCATAGAGTCTATGTCGTAATAGAATCATACACAATGTCTATGTCATAGACATTGTGTATGATTACATAGGCCTATTTATCACAAATACAATGTGTAAGAAACATTAGACTACTAATTATAAATGCACAATAGAAAAGAAAAACATGTCAATCATACTTCAGTTAAATATACATATCGAAGGCGAAAACATCTTGTTTTTATTCCGTCCAAAGATTTGTGAGCATATATTTCGAACGATCATCAAACGATGTTGCTTTTTTAGGTTCTAACCGGTCAATAGAAATACGTAGCCTACTGTAGATATTCTTATTTGGATATGCGGACCCCTTAAAGCACCATCATGCACCCCTTAGGGGTTCATGGACCCCAGGTTAAGAACCCCTGGCTTAGACCCTTAGACCAAGCACAACAGGGCTTCGTTAAAACTATTAATGGCCTAATCTTCTCGTCCATTCATGCATGTATTGAAAAAGATCAAATTTGTTAATTAACATTATCCTAGGTTGCCACTATTTTATGATCTACTCTAATGAAAAAAGCATTTGGACAAATATTTTCCTTATTTTGTAGTTTATGAATCATGGATTCGAGCCTCCACATTTTTCCTAACACGTGCTTTTGTTTTGTTGATTGTAATATATATCAGTTCTATCACAGTCAGAGAGCCTCTCCTCCCTTCTCAAAACTTTGGAAAACAACTTTGTTAACATTTTGAAGTACACCTCTGCTACCAACCATTTGTCATAAACAAAATTTCGTATTTTAAGGAAGTTGATTTATGAAAGATTGTTATATGCAGTGCGGTGTTTCATATCATATCTTCATTCAATTTCGAAGTTGATTTATGTTGAAACTTGCAACAAAAACAATTTGACGAGGTTTTGATTAGAAAAAAACATTGCGTGGAAGTGTATTAACTTCTTCACACACGTAGACTTTCAAAACAAAGAAAAAATTCAAACACTCGTTTTTTGCACTATATTTAACAGCTAGTGTTTATCTCACAGTCTTGGTTTTCATTATTTCTATTGTCGACGTTGGCCATCTCAAATGGCCAAAATGGCTAAAACCAGGAATCTTGTAAAAAGTAACTTCCATAATCAAGCTTCTCTCTATATAAGTATACTATGCATTTCCATCTCTTCCTTGAATACATCCTAAGCTAACCAACTTTGATATACTTGTTCCTGATTCTGTATTTCCGCGTCTATGAGATCGTACAAGTCATCGTACAAGTCATCGTACAAATAGATTGTGAAATCAAAAACTAATCAATCTTTTCATATGTCTAACCTTAAAGATATCTCAACTTATTGCTGTTACTGATCAATATACAAACTCCACTCGATGATGTAAAATGTATATTTTAAGAGATGAGCTATTGCTGGTGGACATCGGTGGAATAAGATAGTCGGATACCATTGACGGATCATGGCTGTAGCTACTAACTACTACTTTGTAATATGTTACACCTTTTAGAAAGAGTGTGTGGAGAAGAAACCGAGTGCTCATGGTCGTTTGATGAAAATTTACTGGCATTACTCTCAAACATGGCATGGAAATGAAAAATGGACAAATATCATCAACTTTTCGTCCACTGTCTGCTTTTTCAAAAATCGAATAATCATCATTCTCAGACAAGTCTGAAATGCTTTTCCCCATCATTACTTCGCCCAGTCTCCTTTACCGTATTCATTATATCCAGCTTTTTCTAGCTTAAAATAATCACTGTTGAAGAATATGGTTGCAGCTGAATTTGTACAACTTGGCTAAAGCATAAACAATCACATAATAAGGAGCCATCACTGCTAGAGGTAGGAAGGACACTGTTAGCTTAGCTTGATGACCGTAAAACTATAAAGAATTTGCCCCTGGATTTAGAATAACACTTTCCTTGGATGTAAGGAAGTTAAAAACTTTCTCAAACATGGTTTCAAGTATTTATTTCACTCTTCTTGTACTTATCTCATTGCTAAACACTTATACTCCTCGTCCACATAGCTGGATTTAGTAGACTGATTTCTATTACACTCGTCATGCATCTGTGCTCTTTTAGAATAATTCTTTAATCATACGAGTGTGTCTGTACTTACAAATGTTTTTCTCTAAATTCTCAACTCCTACAGATAGTCTGCATAGAACTCGTTGTGGTTGAAGCATAGTGAATCGTCGTCACAACTATAAATTGTATTAGATGGTCTAATTACGTTGTGTAAAGCACAGAAAAAAGGCAAGACAAACTATAAAACATCTTTACTTTAACCATTTCTCCGGAATTTTAACCGAAATGGGAATGAGGTTTTTAGAAATTTACACAGCAATAGTAAAATGGCAGATTCTTTATGCCACTTAGTTAAATCCTGCATACTTTGACAACACATTTTCGTGGCAAAGTGAAATTGCTTCCCTAACCCGTTGTACACAAGCATTTGTCTGTAGATTTTTATTCGTTGCCAAAACATTGCGATAATATTCCTGCATATTATTTTTGATTTCACTCGCCATTTTCTTTCATAGAAATAAGAAAGAGTAAAATCTTCTTTCAAGTTTTCTTCTTTCAACTTCTTTAGTCAGAGTTAATTGATCACAATCACAGTTCATGATAAAGGTTTATATAGTCACAGGATGAAATGAGATTTGTCTTACATTATAGCTCAATAACGAATGTATCGCTTAGGGAGATTCTGCGAGTGCTACATTTGGAAAATTTAGGGGAGCAAGAAAAAATCGACCGTGCAAAAACTGCCGGTAGAACTTTAGAAAGTATTTTCTTTGTTTGCTGGTTGATTTTCATAAAAGTTCACCAACTACATTTTTATAAATGGATAATTATTATACCCCCAATTTGTAATAGTTCAATGAAAAGCCCCTTTCTGTGGAGTGGTTAATAAATTCTACTACTACTACTTCTATTCTAATAAAGTCT